CCCTTGGGCCGCTCCCCCTCCTGGTGGGATTTGGAATAGCACTGCTCAGCCCCCCGTCACGTGGAGACTGGGATGCTTCTCCCTGAGCCCGCAGTGCCCTGGTACTGGAAAAGCCCTACAGAGCTTACGTAACCATCCTCTACCCCCGGCAGGACAGCACCAAAGTCACAGCAGACAAAGAATCTCCCGTCTCCTCACCCAGGCCCCGCCACCAGGGCTCTAGAGCAGCTTGTGGACATCTTGGTCACTGTCCTTTGCTGCGTCAGAGGGGCAGGCATCACTACTGAGGTGCTATGAGAGCCGTTCAGAGCTGCAGCGCAGAGGGGCTGGAGCTGAAATTAGATGTATGGAGGCGAGGGGCACTCAGTTCCCTAAACGTGAGGCTTGTGTGTGCCGTCAGTGGGGGCCAGCAGGTAGAGGGGAGCGGGGTGCCCGTGTGGTCAGAGTGCAGATCCCTGAAAGAGCACAAAGCTGGACACCAGAGCCAGATCTGCGGCCCAGCTCTGCCACTCACGAGCCCGTGTGACTCTGGGTAAGTCACGTGACCTCTCTGGGGCACCTGTTTCCTTAGTCTGAAAAGCGTTCTGTAATACCCATCATGATGACTTACTGGCATTATGTAAAAATTATGTACTCACTTATGTAAAAATCATATCATCAGTATCATCCCAGGGACTTGAGAGCCAGGGTTGAACCTGGCGGGACAGGAGGGCTCATCTACCTGCTTCCTGACGCAGTGTGTGCGGTGCTTCCACTCCACCTTCCCCATCCTCTGATTACTCTTAAGGGACAGAACAGGAAGGTGGGTGGGAGGGTCCACATGACCCCAGCAGGCCTGTGTCCTGATGTCATTGCAGATGGTGGAGAGCATGAAGTACCCCTTTCGGCAGGGCATGCGGCTGGAGGTGGTGGACAAGTCCCAGGTGTCACGGACCCGCATGGCTGTGGTGGACACGGTAATCGGGGGTCGCCTACGGCTTCTCTACGAGGATGGCGACAGCGATGATGACTTCTGGTGCCACATGTGGAGCCCCCTGATCCACCCAGTGGGTTGGTCAAGGCGTGTCGGCCATGGCATCAAGCTGTCAGGTTAGCAGAAGTCCCTGGCCAGCGAGGGCACATCTCTACACCCCACAACCATGCTGCACGGTAGAGGCGATCATCTCTACCATGCGGATGGCAGGACTTGACCAAGTATCCCGAGAGGTTGAGTGCCTTGACTGAGGATGCTCAGGTTGAAGTGTTAAAAACTGGTTTGAAACTAGAGGCTACAGGCCACATCCTTTCCATGTGATGTGGGAAGAGTCTGGGTCCTAAGGGCTGAATAGTTCCTACAGAGACCTTCTGGTCTAGGGGGCACATTTCTGGGGGAGGCGTGGAGATGGCCCTGTTAGCAGCTTCACCTTCCTTTTCTCCCTTCCTCCCTCTGCCATTTCCCTAAAAGAGAGGCGCAGCGACATGGCCCACCATCCCACTTTCCGGAAGATCTACTGTGATGCTGTTCCTTATCTGTTCAAGAAGGTGAGGCACAGCCCTTGGGCACTGTCCCCTTGGCCACAGGTCCACTCCAGGCCTGCGGACCCCAGCTCTTCCCTGGGATGTCCCTTTCCCTCCCCACTTCCTTCCCAGGCCGATGGCAGATGAGGCCTGCTTTCCCACCTTCCCTGGGCCAGCCCGGAGATTCCCCAAGTGCCCCGTTCCTTTAAGGTTCGAGCTGTCTACACGGAAGGCGGTTGGTTTGAGGAGGGGATGAAACTGGAAGCCATTGACCCCCTGAATCTGGGCAACATCTGCGTGGCAACCATCTGCAAGGTGAGCCTGGGGGAGCCTCCAGTATGGCTTTCTGCGGGCATGGAGGTGGCAGAGCTTCCCAGTTCTCGCTGCTCCTGGGCTACCTGCTTTCGTGTCAGGGTCAGAATCTGCTTTCGTGTCGGGGTCAGAGGTGCGTTGGACAGGTGCTTACTGAACACCTGGCCTGAGCCTGTCCTGGGTCAGGTGTAGGCTTCCCTGCTGCCACATGCCACCTCCTTTGAGTGCTGACCTAGCCAAGCCATAGCCGGGCTGACTTCACTGCAAACCTCTGTTACTGCTGCAGCCTGAAGAGCCAACAGCCACCCTTCGGCCCTCCAGGGGGTTTTGCCGATTTATCCATCCAGCAGATCTCCAGGCTGGGCCCGTGTGTTCACTGAGAACACACTGACAAGAAGACAGATGCAGTTCCTGCTGGCACAGCATCTGCTGTCTAGTGAGGAGGCTAAATGATCTCACGAGTGTGGGGTACACCAGTGCTGAGTGCTCTGAAGCAGCTCGGGGAAGGCTGAGAACCAGCTCTGGTTGGATCCATCCACCTTGCATCCCCATTGTATCACCTCACCCTGGGATGGGGGTGCAGTTCAGGATACCATGTTCTGTCTGCCCTCCTCCCCTCCACCTGCTAGGTCCTCCTGGATGGCTACCTGATGATCTGTGTGGACGGGGGGCCCTCCACAGATGGCTCAGACTGGTTCTGTTATCATGCCTCTTCCCACGCCATCTTCCCAGCCACCTTCTGCCAGAAGAATGACATTGAGCTCACACCCCCAAAAGGCAAGACGAGCCTTACAGTTGGGAGGAGCAGGGTGGGGCCACTGGCCCCAATTCCTGGCCAAGCCAGACCCCTGGAGTTTGAAGTCTGTGAGTGGATTGGAGAGGTGACAGAGCTACCCAGGGTCACCACTAGCCCATACTCTGGGCTGGCTCGGCCCCATGGCTGGTATGTGGCTCGGTGAGCAGAGCTCCCACTTGTCCCTTTGGTCAGTGAACAACTTGTGCAACAGGACCATGGTCCTAGAGCAGGTACCAGCCTGGGGAGGAGGGAAGAAGGCTGCTGGGGAGACTCCGGGGGGGTCCTGACTGAGCTGCAGGCGCCCCTTTGGCGCTGGGAGACCTTCCGGGACTCCCTCCCGCTTCCCTTCCCCCCTCCTCACCTACACTTCCCACTCCTACAGGGTATGAGGCTCACACTTTCAGCTGGGAGACCTACTTGGAGAAGACCAAGGCGAAAGCAGCTCCGTCAAGGCTCTTCAACACGGTGAGGAGGCCAGTCCTGCCCACCGCCCGCAGCGGCAATCCCAGCCCTGTTCTTTTCTTGAGTCTTTGCTACTGAGGTCCGCCCCTTCAGGGGAGAAGTCCCAAGCTCTGACCTGGGCGCTATGCCGAACAGTTCAGCTGGTCCCTTTCCCAAAAGGGCCAGTGCCTGGGAACAAAATGCAGTGGGATCACTGGTCAGAGGAACCTCCCCCCGCAGGCATGCTCAGCCCTGCTCCCTCCCCCAGGTGTGCCCCACTGGGGCAGGGCCCCGGCTGGCTTGGTCATTGCCTTTGTTCCCCCTCCCAGGACTGCCCCAACCATGGTTTCAAGGTGGGCATGAAGCTGGAGGCCGTGGACCTCATGGAGCCCCGGCTCATCTGTGTGGCCACTGTGAAGCGGGTGGTGCACCGTCTCCTCAGCATCCACTTTGATGGCTGGGACAGCGAGTATGACCAGTGGGTAGACTGTGAGTCCCCGGACATCTACCCCGTCGGCTGGTGTGAGCTCACCGGCTACCAGCTCCAGCCGCCCGTGGCCACAGGTCTGGGCTCTCACAGCCCTAAGGGGCTCTTGACTTTCCTCTTCTTCTTCCTTCCTGCCAACCACGCCCCCGCCCCACGCCCACCTCGTTCTTTGGCATGAGATCGAGAATCTCCTGGACCACTTCTAAGAAAAGAGTGGCCCTTGTCTCCCTCCCTGTCCTGACTTCTCTGTCTCCCTCTCCCTCTGGCCTGCAGAGCTCCTTCCTTGACCTTGCCCACTCTGTCATATGCTCGTGCCCTTGTGCACCCAGGTAAACTCCCTAGGTCCCTCCGAGAGCCCTGGTGATGAGGGTGGGAAGAAGGGACAGCTGTTGTCCAGTCCCTCTCTGCAGCCCCCTCCCCGTTCTCATTGCCCAGCTCTGGCTTTCCTTCTGGGGGCGTCCCCTGTGTCAGGGAGGCCGGTGAGGGGCGGACAGGCATCTTGGGGTGTGCCTACAGCCTGTGTCCTCTCAGAACTCTCTCCTCACCTCTTCTCCATACTTTCAACAACAGAGCCCACCACACCTCTGAAAGCCAAAGAGGCCACGAAGAAGAAAAAGAAACAGTTTGGGAAGAAAAGTAAGTGATGCTCTAAAGCTACCTGGGATCAGCTGAGCCTGTGTCCCTGGGAGTGGAGGTGGGGTGTCGCCACCTAAGTCGTGCTCTTCATGGTCCCGCCCTCTCCTTCACCCCTTGCCCCACGGGCCCAGCCATCAATCACCCTGTGTCTTCAGGGACCCAGAGCGTAAGTCTTCCATCTCTGGCAATGGTCAGGATACCGAGGAAAAGAGACAAGAGACTATTTGGGGTGTAGGGAGGCCATGTGTAGAGGCCATGCTTGAAAGTAAAAGGTACGAAAGGAAATGGGTGGAAGCTGCTCCCTGAGGCTGTCGTTGTTCCCTCATGACCCCCAGGGAGTGGGAGGAAGGGCGGCCACTGATCTTGGGGACCTCTCCACAGACAGGCCCATTCTCAGCAGGCCCCAAGCTGAGCTGCAGGCCAGTGCAGTGAGGTGGGCTTCCTGACGTGGTATCATGCAGAGGAGAGGATGTCCTGAAGGGAACAGGGAGGAAACAGTGTGGTCCCGAGGCAGGATTAAGATGCTGTGAGGGTGTGGAGGCGACCAAGCGGCAGGACCCTGTGCCGTTCAAAATGTAGGGCTGGGAATCACACTTCAGACATGAAGAAAGCGAGGATCCGAAAAGGGAAGCTTAACCATGGCGGCGAGTGGGGGGAGGTGGGTGTCAGTCCCTTGCTGGCGGCAGCCTCTGAGCCGCAGGCACACAGCCCTGGGGGCTGAGGTCAGAGTTGGGTCCTCTGTCCTCCCAAACTGGCGCTTTCCCCTCTGCTGTGCTGCCTGACCACTGGGCAAGACCCAGCCTGCGTGCGCCACGTGGATGCATCCCTACCCCGGATTTAATTCTGTGTTTATTCAAAGGAAAAAGAATACCACCAACCAAGACCCGGCCCCTCAGACAGGGGTCCAAGAAGCCCCTGCTGGAGGACGACCTGCAGGCGGCAGAGAAGATCTCGTCGGAGCCCGTTCCTGATGAAAGTAAGAGCCTCCCACGCGGGGTCGAGGTTGGGGGCGGCTCCGGTGCTCAGAGGCCGACCCCCTCCTTCCCCACCTGGGCACAGAAGAGTAGAGTCAAGTTTGAAGGGAAGTTTCTGGGCACCAAGCAACCCTTCTCAGACCACTGGGCCTGGAGGGCTTCCCAGACACCCACCCCCAGCTCTGAATGGAGCCGAGCGTCTCGCATGGCCCTCTCCACCTCATGTGCTTGGCAGGGTGGGCAGCCTGCCCGGCTGGGGTGACAGGACCCTAGGCCTTCTGTGCTGCCTGCCCCCACAGAGGGGGAAGGGGCTCCCCTTGCCATGTCCTGAGGGCCTGTCTGTAGGAAGCCTGATTTCTTCCCCAGATCCTGAGGCCACGCCCTTCCCGGAGTTACAGGCACACTCTCTTCTCCCTGTCCCCCACCTCTCTTCCTCCTCAGTCATTACTGTGCGTGTAAAGGAAGAGCATCTCGACGTGGCCACGCCTGACAAGGCCCCAAGTCCAGAGCTGCCCGTTCCCATCGAGAACATCAAACAGGAGACAGACAACTGAGACTTCCTCGTTGCTGCCCAGCCGCCCAGCTGGCAGCCAGCCCAGGGCGCCTCGACTGCCAGCACCCCTCCACCCCACTTTCCTCTGGAGACTGAGCCTTTCTGCGTGAATGCCGCCTGGTGCTGTGGGCGCTGGGCAGCGAACGAACACCCAGGGTCTCCCGGACCCGCCCTGTCGCCTCTGCCCCCTCCTGGGCAAGGCCGGCGTGACTAGGGCTGCTGAGACCCACAGACTCGCCTGTGAGCAGCTCCCTCTCCAGCTGGAGTTCCCGAAGCTCTTCCTTACCAGCCTCCATCCACACCCACCGTGTCCCTCAACTGCCAGGGGTGAGGGACCGCACACTGGAGGACAAGTTGGTTGGTGGCGGGGGTGAGCTCAGCGCGCCTCTGTGTGTGTGTGTGTGTGTGTATGAGCACACCCAGCATGCGTGTGTGTGTGTGTGTGTACGAGCACAGTCAGCATGTGTGTGTCTGTGTGTGTGTATGTGTGTTCGAGCACACACGTCCCCTGAGAGGGAGGCTGCCACCAGCATTGAACTTAACCCGCTCTGGAGCCCAGGGGGGCTAGGACCTGTCCTTTTCATTCTCCTGTTAACCAGGGACGGGTCTGGCCCTGCCAGAAAGTCACAGGGCTGCGACAGAGTTGGGTGGTCAGCCCTGCTGGCTGAGGTGGCCCTGGAGGAGCTCCTGGAGGAAGGGACACACTTCCTGGCTCGTTTTCCTCACTGTTCGTGTCCTTAACTCTGTAACATGTTTTGAATCTCCTTCTCTCTAAAGTACCTTCTAGAAGTTCATCTAGCATCTGCCCAAATTTCAGCTGCTTTTTTTTCCCCAGTTAGTCTCCTTTGAAACTGTCTCCTCCCTCTGATCCATCCTCTCTTCAAGAGACTCTCTTCCTGGAACCTAAGGTGATGGCAGGTGCTGTCCTCAGCCCTTTTCTTTCCTTCTACATGTTTGGGTAGTGACGGCACGGCAGGGTGGGTCCCTGTGTCACCCCTTTAAGGGCTGCAGCTGTGCCGGGCGGGTATCTGGCTTCCTGGACTGTCAGGTGCTTGCCAGATGGGGTGCTGACCGTGGATGTGCTCAGGACCCAGCTGTTGGGTGTCATCCCAGAGATGGGGTGACCAGCCCAAGGGGAGCTGATTTCCTGTCAATTCAAAGAGAACTTGATCCTTTCTCCTTTTCTAAAGACACCCTGCAGGCCCACATGGTATAGAAACCAGGCCCAGAAAGCACCCTCTTGCAGCCTGAGTTCCCCAAAACATTACTAGGTGTGTGTGGAACACAGTGATGACCAAGGACGGGGCAGGTCCCAGGAAAGAGGGACCATGCCTGACCCCACCCCCATCTCACACACACCAGACTTGAGTGGTGATGGGTCAGTCAGTGGCATCAGCTCCCAGGGGAGGAAGGTGGCATGTGTGTGCACTTCAGCTCTGCCTTTGTTGAGGGTAAACTGCTCAGCTGAGAATAATTCATCGTCCCTGATGCTCTTGCTGTTAATGGATCCAGTTCTGACTGAAGAGCTTCTAGGAAAACAGGACTTGTATGGTATTTTGGCCTTCGGTTGCTTCTTCCTGAATGGAGAAGTGAAATCTACATGTGCCGTGAGCACCACAGGCAGAGCTGGAGGGCACGATGAGCTGCCGTTGCGGCCCTGCACTGGCCTCCCGTACTTAACTTGCATGAGACAATTGAATCTCTTTTTTGCTGAAGTCCAATTTGTCAGTGTTCTGTTCTTAGAGCTAGAGTGCGTTCTGATATGCCACCCGACGGTGTCAGTTATGAAAATTGGGTGAGTTCACACATGAAGAGTGCAGAACACAAGTGTCATCTGTCATCTCCGGAGCTCCCCGTCTCCATAGCAACAACATGCTATATTCTCCTTATGTTTCAGCCATTCCCCTCCCAAAACCACAGGTTCCAGAAAGCCCAAGTATGTGACAAAGTGTACATAACGTGTTGCTGGGACCTAGAGGTTAATTTGTTACAGATGGAAGTGTTGACCTCTGGGACATAATAGCTCAAGGCACAGAATGAACCTTGTTCCTCAATTGCCCTTGGATGGAACCAGGTCTTGAAGTCTCACAGCAGCGGGGCCACCTGATGGCTGGGAAATATCCTCAAGAACAGAGCCACTTCCACTCCCTGCTCCCACTGCTTGACAGCCTGCAGCAGCTCCCTGGTGCAGATTAGGCCACGTGCAAACACCTTCCTTTACTATCACCCCCATCTGGATCCTCAGCTCTGCTTGAGGGACGGGAAGCAAGGGCACTACCATTTGTGATAGCCCCACATGACAGGCACTAGTGTACAGGCGTTCACACGGCTCGCTTCATCTTCACAGTAATCCCGTGAGGACACGCTGACTCATTTTACGCATAAGAGACAGAGGACTCGTTAAAGTTCAGTAACTTGGTGGCTTGACAACTGTTAAATGACAGCAGTGGGAGCAAGCCCAGGCTCGTCTGCCAGGTGCTTTCGGCCAGGCAAGTCCCCCAGCCCAGAACACCCTGCCAGGGCTCAGGGCCCTTATCCTTCTTCGATGCCTTGGTATTCCCGGGAGGAAGCTGCCACTTTCAACAAAGTAAAAACAAAAAGCCTGCTGGTGGCGTATCTCCGTGTCAGAAAGGGTGGTTGGATAGGGTGGCCCGCGAGGCCCCATTCCTGTCGCAGCTACAAAATGTGGGATTGGCGTGGGGGTCTTTTAATGAGAGTCCACACCTTGAGGTGAACCCGTCGGGGCTGCTGCTCCCGAGTCGAGCTCAGCATCCACGCTGGTGCCGTTCATCACGACTCCCGGCAGAAAGCGCCGCCCGAGTGTTCGCCGAGCATGGCCGCCGTCACTGACCCTGGCTCCAGGGCTCGCTTCTAAGGCCGAATGCTCACCCTCAGCCTGGGGTCTTTTTAGGGGTTCTTCCTCACGCCCAGCCGACCTCCACAAAGAACAGTTTCGGGTTGAATTAAGTCCCCACGAAAAAGATACACCTCAGAATAAGGCCTTATTTCGAAATAGGGTCTTCACAGAGGTGATCCAGTTACAATGAGGTCATTAGGGTGGGCCCTGATCTAATGACTCGTGTCCTCACAAAAAGGGGGAATTTGGACACATCCAGCAGGAAGACGATGTGCAGAGACACGGAAAGACGTCGTGTGACGGTGGAGGCAGGGACGGGGCTTGTGTTGGCACAGCCAAGGAACGCCTGGGGCCCGCGGAGGCTGGACGGGGCACGGAAGGACCCTCCCCTCGAGGCCTCAGAGGCAGCACAGCCCCGCCAGCACTCTGATTCCAGGCTTCTAACCTCCACATCAGTGAGACAATACATTTCTGTGGTTCTGAGCCACCCAGCTTGTGGTAGTTTGTGGTACTGCAGCCCTAGGGAACTGATACAAACACCATCTGATGGTCCCTAGGTGCCCCAACTCTTCAAGCTGCAGGTCCAGAAGCAGGCAGAGCCCTCTCCCCTCCTTCCCAGAGCCCACCCTGTTCTGGTCACGGCTTTCCTCTAAGGTCTGCCTCCCCTACATCCCCTCACCACCCAGCACGGGTCGCCACGTGGAGGGGTGCCCATGTCCTGCGCACTCTTCTCTGATGAGCTGCGAGATTTTGCTACAACTGAGCGTTCCAGTGTGAATGGGTTTGTCCGGACAGCAAACGTAACGTCAAGGGGGTGATGGAGTCCGACCCGTGGTACCAACCACACACCTGCACTCCTGCTCTTCCCGCCCCAGGGATGAGCGAGGCCCCCGAGATCAGGTGGGGACAGGCTGAATCAATGGCAATCCAGCAGTAACAGTCACTGTGGGGTTCTCATGGATACCCAGGGTCCTGGGATGCTGCAGCTTAATCGGAAAGGCCATTGTCCCGTGGGATGAAACAGTCATTTCCTTACAAACCCACTCTGGGCTTAGCCCAGAGGTGGAGGAGGTAAGGAGAGGGGGATAGACATTTTTTAACGGAAGCAACAGGGTCATTACCCAGATCTAGAACCTCACGAAATTGGGACCAAGACAAGTCAGATCCCTGCTACCCCAGGGGCTTTAAAACCTGACCCACCCAGCGAGGCCTCCCTGCACCTGCCCCCAACCAACCTTGTTCGCTCCCTGCCATCTTCCCTTCATGGGGGTCCTCTGGGCACTAGGCCTGGGGGCCGGCGTCCGCTTGGCCTTCCCGGCAGCCCAGCCCGGGCAGGCTTCAAAGACAGCAGCTGCAGCCTTCACACTCTGGCCACGGGCACTGGGAGGGGCGGCACAGGTGGCCCCCACGTGCAGGTTCAGCCCAGTGAGCCACCTGAGGAGAAAAGGGGGTTCGGGGAAGCCACTGTGCTGAGCTTTCCTGAGGAGAGCGAAGAGGTCCTCAGTGATGCGGGGGCAGTGGGACTCGGCCACTCACCAATTATGTGACCCTGAGCAAGTCATTTCAACCTTCAATCCCCTCCCTGTAACAGGGGGCCAGTAATAAACAGTTCCAGAGGGCTGAAGACCCAGACGCTGTTCAATCTAGATAAGCTATCTAATTTAATGTAATTCTTACGACCGCCACCAGGAGGTGGATGCAATCGCTATCATCCCCTTTCCAGATGAGGGGCCAGCACAGAGAGGCCACATGGCTCACAGGTAGATGGTCAGTCACAGAGGTGGATTTGAGCCCAGGTCACCAGACTCCACGGTTCTTGTTGCTTTCTTAGGCAGTGACGTAAAGTGCTCTCACACATTTACTAGGTCCCACCCCACTAGGCTGGGCAGATTTCATTCCCACTTTATAGATGAGGGAACAGGGGCTCAGAGAAGCCCACCCAAGCCCCGTGGATGTCTGGCTCCCCCAGGAAGGGTAGCTGGCCCTGGAAGGATCCTCGCCCGCCAGAGGTGCTCAGATGGCACCAGGGCTTGACTGAGAGCAGCTGCTGGGTCCCCAGCTGGGGCATTCAGTTGGGGGTGCTTACCTGTGAAGTGGGAGCAGCTGGCAGTCACAGTGGAAGGGATTGCCACTGAGGTCGATGAGCTCAAGCTGGCTGAGACCAGGCAGGGCGGGCAGGGCCTGCAGCTGATTCTTTTGCAGATGTAGGCTCTGGAGCCGAGGCCCCAGGCCCAAGAAGGCCCCCGGAGAAATCTGCAAGAAGGCGCCAGGCCCTGGTGTGAGCTCCTGCCAGGCCTGTCCCACCCCCAGGCCTGGGAGGGAGCCTCATGCTCCCCGTGAAGAAGGGGAGTCGAGAGCCCAAGATGGGCAGGAAGGGCAGTGCTGGGGTGGAAACCCAGGTTTTGCCAAAGCACGTGCCCTTTGCAAGTCACACAGACCCCCAGTCCATGGTTCTTTCTGCTATGCCTGGACCCCCGCATATTGGCAAAGCTCTGCCCACAAAGTGTGTAACAGTAGGTAACCCCACGGATCCACGTTCCGCCCTCCTCCAGGCCTCGGCAGTGCCCTCCCTGCCAAGCCCCTCCGTGTGGCACAGCGTTCCTCCTGGTCTGTGGCCCACACCTGAGCTCCCTGGGGCAGGCGCAGGGTCGGGCTCATCTCAGGGACCCCACGCCCAGCCTCGGGCCTGGCACTGCAGGGGTGGCAGTGTTGGTTGAGTGAACGCAAGCTGTGTAGACCCTCGTGCTGCCTCCCCTCACCCCTGTTCCCCCTGTGCCCACCTGCTCCAGGCCACTGCTGTTCAGGAAAAGGTGTTGCAGCGAGCGGCCCACGGGCCAGAAGGCCCCATCTTGCAGGGCCCTGAGCGGGTTCCCCGAGAGCTGCAGCTCCAGGAGGGCAGGCAGCCCCTCCAGGGCCGCAGTGGGCACCTCTCGCAGCTGGTTCCTGTCCAGGTGCAGCTTCTCCAGCTCCTGAGCGGGGCCCAGTGCCCCGGGGGACACTTGGGTGATGCGGTTCCCACTCAGGTAGAGCCAGCGCAAGGCCCGCATGCCTGCCAGGTCCCCCAGTGCCAGGCGGTCCAGAGCGTTTTCCTGCAAGTGCAGGGAGAAGAGGCTGGGCAGGGCGCGCAGGGCGGCCCCTGGCACCTGCAGGAAGCGGTTGCGCTCCAGGTACAGGTAGCCCAGGCAGGGCGCCCCTTCGAGGGAGGTAGCGCTGAGGCTGGAGAGCGAGTTGTCCGAGAGGTAGAGGTAGAGCAGGCTGCCCAGCCCCGCCAGGGCGCCTGCTTCCAGCTCTGTGATGCCGCAGTGCTGCAGGTGCAGCGACACCAGCTGGCCCAGGCCCGGGAAGGCCTCTCGGGGCACCAAGGGGAAGTGGTTCTGCCTCAGGTCCAGGAGCTGGGTGTCGTTGGGGAAGCCGCGGGGCACGACCTGCAGGCCGCGGTCCTCACAGCTGCTGTGCCGGGACTCAGGGGCGCACACGCAGGCGCGAGGGCAGGGCCTGGCCGCCCCAGCCTTCTCCTTGGAGGTGCCGTCAGGGACACGGGGCCGCGCGGCCGCCACCTCCTCCTCTTCCTCCTCCGCCCCGGCTCCGGGGCAGCGCAGGTCCGAGGGCCGCAGGGCGTCCAGGGCCTCACCGCGCAGGCGCCGCGGCTCCCCGCACGCGCCGTCCGAGCGCACGCGCGCACGCGCCAACCACTGGAGCAGGGGCCGAGCCCGGCAGTCGCACCGCAGTGGGTTCCCCTGCAGCCGCAGCCGGCGCAGCTGACCCGGGCCCTGCAGCGGCTGCAGGGCATCCAGCTGGTTCCCACGGAGGTCCAGGGTGTGCAGGCGGGGGCAGTGGGCAAAGGCCCTGGGGTCCAGGGCCTGCAGGGCCCCGTGGTCCAGCCTCAACTCCCGCAGGCCGGGCAGCACCAGCCCGTCCTCCTCGCCCGTGTAGGTGAAGGGGTTGTGGCCCAGCTCGAGGCGGGCCAGGCCGCGGGCCTGGGACAAGGTCGCTCCGGGCAGGGACTGCAGCTCATTGTGGTGCAGGCTGAGGCGGCGCAGGGCGGGCAGGCCGGCCAGGGCCTCGGGGGCCAGCACGCTGAGCGCGTTGTGGGACAGCTGCAGCCAGCGGGCGCGCACCAGCCCCTGGAAGGCCATGGCGGGCAGGTAGACGAGGGCGTTGTGGGCCAGATTCAGCGTGGCCAGCGCGCCCAGCGCCCCGAACGTCCCCGGCCGCAGCTCCTCCAGCAGGTTCCCCTCCAGCTCCAGCCGCCGCAGCGAGCCTAGCCCGTCCAGCGCCTCCTGGGGCAGCGCGTTCAGGCGGTTGGAGGCCAGGTTGAGGAGGAGCAGGCGGCCCAGGCCTCGGAAGGCACCCTCGGCCACCAGCTCCACCTGGCAGTGCCGCAGGTCCAGGTGTGTCAGGTAAGGCAGGTCCCGGAAGGCAGCTGGGGGGATCAGCTTCAGCATGTTGCCCTGGAGGTCCAGCCGCTGGGTCAGCTGAGCAGGGAGAGGTAGGGGAGGCTGAGCAGCACCAGGACCACGGCCTGTGCCCCTTGCTTACCCTGGCCTTTGCACGTGCTGTTCCCTCACCTGGAACACTCTCTTCCCCCTCACGTTTCCTTCATTCTCTTCATCCTGCTCCCTGACACCTCCTCCTGGAAGCCTTCCTCCCCAGCCGCCTGGGTATCCCCTAGTCTAGCACTTTTCACATTGAATTGTCACTGCCCCTTTACTTTCACTCTTTTCCTCTAGCTCTTGACTCCATAGGACAGAGACCATACCTTAGTCCAGTATATCCCCAGTTCTCTGCCACAGGGCCTGTAATTAACTCAATGCTGTATCTATATAGGTCACCTAACTTGTTCCAATTGCATAGCATTTTACGAGGGGTTTGTTTCGTTTTTGTTTGTTTTGCGGTATGAGGGCCTCTCACTGTTGTGGCCTCTCCCGTTGCGAAGCACAGCCTCCGGACACGCAGGCTCAGCGGCCATGGCTCACGGGCCTAGCCGCTCCACGGCATGTGGGATCCTCCCGGACCGGGGCACGAACCCATGTCCTGTGCATCGGCAGGCGGACTCTCAACCACTGCGCCACCAGGGAAGCCCACTGCATAGCATTTTAAATAGACTGTCTCCCTGTTGTTGGTTATTATCATTCCCATTTTACAGATGTGAAGACTGAGGCTCAGAGAGGAAAAGTGACTTGCCAAGGCCTCCCAGCCCGGCAATGGCAGATCCACTGGTGCCAGCCCGGGCTCCTCCTGCTGTCCCCCCCCCCAACCCCATCTTGTCCTGCTGACCTCAGGGATGGCATTCGGCACCTCGGTGAGGTTCTGGTGCCGGCAGGCCACATGCCGCCTGGAATTGTCGCAGACGCAGGTCTGTGGGCAGCGCTGGGCAGCTGCATGCCAGGTTGGCCCCAGTGGCAGCAGCAGAGGAAGCAGCAGCACCACGGAGACACTCTGGGGCCTGGCAGAGAGAAGAAGGGTCAGGTGTTCACAGAAGCAAGGGTCCCACACTGTCCACTCACTGAGCCCCAGCTCTTGTCCCAGAGCCCCTCAGATGTCTTCCTCCTTTGGCCCCAGGGAAGCTGTCATTACCCTGAGCCTCCAAACCCTCCCCAGAGCATAGATTGCATTGTTATCCCTGTTTTATACCAGAGGAAACAGGCTCAGAAAGGCAACCTGGCAAGTCCCTTTGATTGTCTGCCAGTGGCTCAGTGAGGCCTTTCCGAATGCAGTTCAGAGGTGTGCCCAGGCTGTGCAGAAGCCCCCGGGTCCAGGGGGAGTTGTGTCCTCCCAGGGTGAGGTTGGCGGTGGAGAGAGAATCAGCCGTTCCTCAGACGGAAGTGGCATCAGCACCGTGGTGGCAGGGAGCGTAATGGCACCCACCTCGAGAAGACAGCCTGGCAGCCGGAGGGGAGGACCCAGGGCTGGCACAACTTGGGAGACCAGGTGTCGTGGGATCCGAAAGCCCTGAGGAGCCTTAATGGCTGGTCAGAGCCACTCTGACAGGCAAGCAAGGGGCTCCGACTTCTCTCTTGTTTATTCATGTGTTGTCCTCTCTTCATCTTAGTGCCACCCCGCTGGCCTGGCCTGGGATGGGGGGAACTGCGGGTATGGCCTTGGGGCTGTGCTTTGGGCAAGGTCTGTCCACTTTCCTGTCTGTCCATCCACTCCCCGTCTACCCAATACCCAGCTGGACCCCTTTACCTCACAACTACCGCCTGCCTCTCCACAGGGAGGGCCGCGCCACGGTGGCACTCCTGGCTTCCCCACTTCCGCTCACCACCAACCAAAGGGAACTTTCCAAGATACAGACGGGCCCTGACACCCCCGGCTGAAATCCCTCCAGCCTCTCCTCACTGCCTTTGCTGGGAAATCCTGACTCCTGATTCCCCAGCTGGTACCCGCTCAGACCCTTCAGTGTCACCCCGGGCTCCCCCACCATCAGCACGCAAAGCAGCTCCCTCCTCTCTGCCTCACCAGCTTTTCCCTCTGTCCTCAGCTCTCTGAGCAACCCTTCCTGATCCCTGGGCTGACTCCCACCCTGAGCCTCCCGTGTTCCACTCACTGGGTTGGCTGTCACCATGCGGTTTTCAGTTTCCTTGGGGTCCCAGGGTCCAGCCCGGCCTTGGGGCTGGTGGCATCCTGTAGAGCTGTAGTGAGGCTGAGGCTCAGGGCAGGTCGGGGGTGTGGGGACAGATCCCTGAGGGACAAGCGTCCAGGCCTCAGGCCTGCCTAGCGCTCAGACAGGCTCCTGGAGGACTAGCCCAGGGGAGCTCCTGGGAGCGGCCACGTTCACCGTCTTCCTCGGAACCCATTTCGGAGAGACCCTTGGAGAATCTCTGCCCCGGGAGATCCCAGAGCCCCTGTCCCCCAGCCCCTGAGAGGCCCAGAGAGGGGCAGGGGTTTGCCTGGAGGCACTCAGCTTCTCTAACCCACCTTGCCACCGCAGGGCCCAAAGACTCACCCCGCCATGCCGATCGCACGGCCAGTCCAGCCTGGAAATGCAGCACAGGGGAAGGCTGGCAACGGTCCCTGCCTGGACGCCAGCGGGAGCCCCCCTCCCAGCCCGCAGACCTGGCAGCGGGGACAGGGCTGAATGGGAGGCATTGTGAGGTGAGTGAGGGGCGGGCATGGCAGGAGCAGCGGCTGAAGTTGCAGGGCTTCTTGCTCAGAATCCTGGCCCAGGCCTGAGACCCGAGTCCCTGGACCGGCCGAGCAGGGAGGGGCCTCAAGGGGCTGGCCAGTGGGTCCCAGACCTAGGCTTCCTCCGGCTGTGTCCCTGGGCAGGGCTGCACCTCACCGAGCCTCAGTTTCCTACTCTGTGAAAAGACAGAGTATCAGTAACTAGCTCATAGGGTTGCTCTGGGGGTTAAGGTAGGCACCTGGCACATAGTAGGTGCTCAAGAACAGTTAACTCTGCCCTGTTTGTGCTTATAATACATTTACATACATCGTTTAGCACTGTACATAAATTATTCTGTAAATCTGTTTTTTTTTCACTCAACATCAGGGAACTATCTAAATTGATTCTTCTTAGTTATATTCATTCATTTTGACTTGTATAGTATTCCACTGTATAAGTGTATCAACTTATGCGTTAATCGTGGACGTTTGGGTTGCGTCCAATTTTGTTATTACAGTGTTGCAAAGAATACCTAAATACTTATCTTCCTGGGGACATGTGCATTTTTTAAAAAAATGAAATAGTTCATCTAGACCATAGCAAACATTTAAAACCTTTATGTATGCTATGATTTTTCAGATCCTGTGATACTTTAGATCTGTGTTTCTGGTGGAAATGCAGCTTTCATTACTGTTTTTTGGCTTTAAAAACAACAAACAAACAAGAAATAGTGTCACACCACACACAGACTTTTTATTAACATTTATTTGGCTGCGCCGGGTCCTAGTTTCGGCATGTGGGATCTAGTTCCCTGACCAGGGAACGCGGAGTCTTAACCACTGGACCACCAGGGAAGTCCTCACACACAGACTTCTGCATGTGCTTTATTTCGCTCAGCAAATTCTATCAACAGTACTGCACAGTGTGCATCCTTTTTTTTACCCCCCATATTTGTTTATTTATTTGGCTGTGTCGGGTCTTTGTTGCGGCACACGGGATCTTCGTTGCAGCACGTGGTCTTCTGTCTAGTTGCGGCCCGCGAGTGCTCAGTAGTTGCGGCATGCGGGCTTAGTTGCCCCGAGGCATGGGGGATCTTAGTTCCCTGACCAGGGATCGAATCCTGCGTCCCCTGCATTGGAAGGTGGATTCTTAACCACTGGACCACCAGGGAAGTCCCCAGTGTTTATCCTTTTATGTCTGGCTTTTTTTTTTTTTTTTTTTGGCTTTGTTGGGTCTTCATTGCTGTGTGCGGGCTTTCTCTAGTTGCAGCGAGCGGGGGCTACTCTTCGTTGCGGTGCACAGGCTTCTCATTGTGGTGGCTTCTCTTGTTGCGGAGCATGGGCTCTAGGTGCGCGGACTTCAGTAGTCGTGGCATGCGGGTGCTAGAGCGCAGGCTCAGTAGTTGTGGCGCACTGGCTTAGTTGCTCCGCGGGATCTTCCCGGACCAGGGCTTGAACCCGTGTCCCCTGCATTGGCAGGCGGATTCTTAACCACTGTGCCACCAGGGAAGCCCTGTCTGGCTTTTTTTAATCAGTATTATTTTAGTGAGATTCACCTATGGTGCATATTGTAAAAATTCGTTCATTTTTATATAGTAATTCCAGCATTCCCTTCTATAAATATTCCACAACAGCGGCATGGGACAGAGGCAGGAGCGCAATCTGCCCCAGACGCAGGTAATAAGGAGGTGTAGTCTCATTCTCTCTCCTCCCTTTCTACCCAGAGGCAACCACTTTCATGAAGTAGTATAATTTTACGATATAGGGCATTAATTTTTTTAAATGTATCAAACAGTGCATATTATTTTGCAAACTTGTTTCTTTCACTCAGCAGTGTTTTTTGAAGATTTACTCAGTGGATACAGGTAGCTTCTGCATCCGGTTTACTCACTGTAACTGCTACATGAGATCTCACTGCATGCACGTGCCATCATCTAACTATTCTACTTACATTTGGTTATTTCTTAATTTCCTGGTATCCCTCATCAGGCTGCTGTTGTACATGTCTCCTTGTGTACACATACAAGTTTCTCTCAAGTAGATCCTTAGAAATGGAATTTGGGGTCACGGGCTACGTGCATTTTCAGCTTTCTCAGTACCTGCCAAATTGCTGTCTATAGTGGCTTTTAGTAGTTTGACATCCCTCCAGCAACGTGTAAGACGTGCCAGATTCACCTCTTTCCTGGTGTCACCTCTTTTAATCGTATTTGCCAGTCTGGTCTGAAATGGTATTATCTGTGGTTGTATTTCACATTTCCTTATTTTCCAGTAAAGTTGAACATAATTCCTTTTTTTTTTTAAATTAATTAATTTATTTTTGGCTGTGTTGGGTCTTCGTTGCTGTGCACGGGCTACCTCTAGTTGCGGCGAGCGGCAGCTACTCTTTATTGCGGTGCGCGGGCTTCTCATTGTGGTGGCTTCTCTTGTCATGGACCACGGGCTCTAGGCGCGCGGGCTTCAGTAGTTGTGGCACGTGGGCTCAGTAGTCGTGACTCGCAGGCTCTAGAGCGCAGGCTCAGTAGTTGTGGCACACGGGCTTAGTTGCTCCGCGGCATGTGGGATCTTCCCGGGCCAGGGCTCGAACCCGTGTCCCTTGCATTGGCAGGTAGATTCTTAACCATTGTGCCACCAGGGAAGCCCGAACATAATTTCTTTTTGCTCTTCAGGTCTCCTCTTCTGTGAACTGCCTGTTTATACCCTTTGCCCAGTTTTCAACTGGATGTATATTCTCAACATGAATCCTTGTTATATATGTCGCAATGTCTTTCTACTCTCTCACCTTGTCGTTAACTTTTACGGTATTTTTGGTCATTGTTTTTCACTTTTTATTTTGAAATAGGCAAGTTTTCTTATGGCTTGTGCTTTTTGTGTCAAGAAATGCTCTCCTGTGTTTAATTTTCCTTTAAAAAATATGGCTCCTTAGGCAAACGGATTTAGATCACTTAGAATCTTGGTGCACGATGGTGGCCTAACTGTGCTTCCACCCCGTCCTGTCCCCTGCCCTCCCCAGACTAACTCCTATCGTGAAAGCTGGGTTTGTCACACGCATACACATGCCCACACGTTCCATTTACTGGCTTTTGAACTAAGGGCGTTAGATTTTTTCACTCGATGTCACTACTGATCCATCCACGGCGTGCACGGTGCGTGCCGAGCCGCAGTGGATGCACTGTCACTGCTGTGTAACGTTGCATTGTGCGGCTTGGCTCCTGATCCATTTTCCTGATGGCCTGTGGGTCACTTCTAGGTTCCTGCCATCAAACAGTGCTGCTAGGAGTGCCTTCTGCCATGCTTCCTGGGGGTTTTCCAGTCTGAGCTTTTAGAATGGAGTTGATAAGTTTGTGAGCTCCTGGCCCATAGCTGAGCTCCTTTTAGTGGGAATAGCCTGGTGCTGAGCAGGCCTTCCTATGTGGGGGTCACAGGCTGCCCAGGCAAAGGCATCTGTGATCTTGCAGACACCAAATCACGGTGCTCAGGGACCTGGAGCCTGTGTAATCTTAGGGTTGGCGTTTGAGTCTGGGGGGAAATTTCCTTTTTCAGTAAGCAGCAAGTAGAGGCCCCCAGGCCCTTCCCTGCACCTGGAGCTGCTCTGAAGGGCTGAGCAGGGGCGGGGCACCCTCCTCAGTCCCTGGGTCCCAGGAGTCAGGCACTGCCGACCTGTTGTGAGGTTAAGGAAACGAGATCTGTGCTGCTTCTCTCAGTCTGATCTGAAGCTTGGACCCGCATTAGCTAGGAAGGAACAAGGGCCAGCCCCGGGTGGCCTGGAGGGAAGGAACACCCAGGCCAGAAAACCTTGGACAGACCCCTATTCGGCTCCAAGCTGCAGTTTCTCCGTCTCTCAAATATCACCTGTGAAAAGTCCTGTTTGAACCTCAAGACTCAGCTCTCGCACCCGTCACTCTTGAAGGCTTCTCTGACCTCACTGCCCACAGTCCCCACTTTGGACCACACATGGTCTCCTGCACCAGGCTGGGAGCTCTCCGAGGGCTGCACCTGCAGCCCCAGAGCTCAAAACAGGGCCAGGCAAGGAGATGGGGGTGGAGTTGGTCGGACCTCCACCTGCTTTATCAGCTGGGAGGAGGGGAGGGCAAGGGCCTGGGCATCGCTTCTGCCACCCGCCCTAGAAAGATGCTGGAGTAGTCCGTGGCCAATAAAGACACACTGCCCCCTAAAAAACGTCGGAGGGACCTCTCTGCTCCTGTGCCTGCTGTCTAGGAGGGGCAGTAAGAAGTGCTGGGCTATCCTCACACCGCTGTGGCAGCCGGAGGGGAGGACCCCAGGGGTGGTGCCCTCCACTCTGGGCCCCATGGCAGCTTCCCAGGCAGGCCCAGGGGCCCCTGCCTGTGCAGCCAGCAGGGCCTGTGGCAAACTCTGGACACCGTCCAGCTCAGCCAGGCCCACCAATGGGGCAATGAAGGGGCCAGTGGAGCAGCAGCCCAGAGGTCGGGTAAAGGGTGAAGTGGGGCCAGGCAGGTGAGACAGGCCGCAACTCAGATCCTCCCCTGCCCGGAGCAGGAGTCCCACCACCCTCCCCGACCCCTATGGGTCGCTGCCCCTCCTGGGTACCACCCACCCAGCTGTCCCATGGGAGCCGGCATGCCCACAACAGAGGAAGCATCCAGGTCTGCCCCAGGTCATGACACAGGGCTGGCCCGGTGGCTCTTCTGCAAGATGGACTGCCCCCCTACTACAGACCAAGATGGGGTCACAGTGGCCATGCTGAGGTGGGACCCCAGGCACCAAGACCTTGAGAACAGCCCACTTTAGGTGAAAAGCTTCTCAAGTCTCCGCTGCTGGTACACATGACTTTATTTGTGAAGCCCCGGGCACAGCCCAGACACACAAAGAGCATGAGAGGAAGCAAGGTGTCACAGGGCATGCCCAGCCCCCACCCGGCCCCTGCCCCAGATCCTTAAGGGTGCCCAAGATGCAGCTCAGGCATCAGTGGGCCCTGGCCCTGCCCCCCCAGGCTGGAGAACAGGTTTGGGCCTGCCCAGATGCCCCCTCCAGCTCAGCACGCAGGCCTGTCACAGACACTTCCGCAGCCAGAGAAGGGCCCACCGGGCACAGAGCCGGCACCGTCCAGGCAAGTCCAGCGCCTAGACCCTAGCGTCTGCCCACTGGCTTCTCTTCCTGTCCACACGGTGTGGGTGCCAGGGTCTTGCCCTCTGCTCGCGGCCCCACGCACAGCAGTCTCTGGCCCTCGGGCTGAGGGCTCAGCACAGCGTGGGTGGATGGTAGGAAGAGTGGCGGCTGCAGGACCGGGACTTGGCGACAGGAAGCAGAGGCAGCCATCGGGTGAGCAGCCCCAGGCAGGGCAGGAAACACCCAGCCACAACACGGAGGGAACAGCACACGGACAGCAACACCCCAGGCTTTGGTGCAGCCCCAGAGGATAAGGAAGGCGAGGTGGGTGGGGACAGCCACCAGGGCCTGGCGCCTGCGGCACAGATCAGCAGAGCGTCCTCAGATGGCGGTGAGTTTAATGGCAGAGCAGCCTGCAGCCCTTCCGCCTGGGGGCCAGCTCCCCTCCAGCGGGACCAGGGCCAGGCCAGCAGGGAGACGTTAAAAATGCGAACCCCGACACGAAGCACACACCTGCACATACGCCGCACCAACACACGTACTCAGGAGACACGACACACGCGACAAAGACCGTCCCTGCTGCTGGCCAGAGTCCTTCCTCTGAGTCCCTTCCCAGGGCACCGGTCCAGGCCGAGGGATGGGGAGAGACCAGATTGCGTCTAGACCTTGTAGAGCGTCTGCAGTAGATTGTGGCGGGCAAAGGAGCAGGATTCCAGGGCGCCATTGGGCCTGCGGGGAAAGAAGGGTCAGCAGGTGGGGCGGGCACCTCTGGGGGCCAGGAAGCTCAGGCTACAGCAGGGCCAGTTTCCCCCCTGTGAAGATGGAGTGGGGGCCGTTTCTGAGGTCAAAATATACACCCGACTCCATCGTTCTCATTTTCACAGTGACTTTGCAAGGGAGACGGTAGCTCCCACCTTCTGCAGGTGGGGGTAGGTGGGGCTAAGAGGGGCGGGTGATACACCCGAGGCCACATGGCCTAGAGCTGGCCAGAATACAGGCCCGCCGAGCCGGCAGGGAACCTGGGCCTCTGCTCTCCACCAGACAGGCTCTCCGAGGCCTCTCCAGTGTGCACAGGGCCAGGGAGCCCTCAGCAGCTGCTAGTGCACATGTAAGAGTGGACCACAGGAGTCCCACCTGGGCCCCTACGAGTAACAGGTTACCATCAAGATCATTAGTCTCACTGCAGAGAAAGAAACTGGTGAAAGATGCTCAGGGGGATGGGTGAGCCTGTGGTGCAGCCAGGACCGAAGCCCACAGACACCTTACCTGGTCCCGTCCGGGCTTGGATCCCAGACCACTGGGCTGGGACTTGAGGGAAGGGGGCATGCATATCACTCCACCGTCGCTCAGTCACCCCCAAGCCCTGGGGGCAGCTCTTACCAAGCCCCCCTCTTTTAAAGTGGAATAGACTGAGGCCTGCACTGGAAGGCAGGCAACAAGCCAGGAGGAGGCAGCCTGTCAACTGACCATCAAGGGCGAGGGTGTCCATGCCCAGCCCAAGGGCCACACAGGGGATGATGGGAATGCAGAGCGAACAGTCCCAACCAGGGGTTGGAAGGAGACAGAGGGAGCCGGGCTTCGTCAGGGGTTGGCAGGCGGGGGCTAGGGCCACCACGTGGGGACACCCCAGACAGTCCAAGCGAAGGCCCACGGGTTGAGGCAACATCTCCTGCAGAGGGAACAGGTGTGGGGAGAGTGCACCTCGCTGCGGGGAGGCCAGGCTGCAGCCAGCATGAGATCCAGGACCAGGGTTTGGACTTGCCCTGGACTCCAGCAGAGGAGCAGCTGCAGTGCAAGGGGCGGTTTGGGTGGGGGGAGTGTGGTGGCAGAGAGGGGGGCAGACACGGCGAGGGAGTCAGGCCCAACTAAGGAGGCGCTGCTATGCACACGGAACTAAGAGATGTCAGGTGGCAAAGAGGCCGAGATGCCAACTAGGTCCTGGGGGACCGGCGCATGCTCCTCACCCCCCACCCCAGGCGGGCTGCCCCACGACACTTCGTCCCACGCTCTAAGCACCCTGACTGATGGTCTGGACCCGCCAGTGTTACATGTCCCCCAGGGTGCGGGCACCTCCTTTCTCCTACACCCCCTCCCACTTTCCCCCAAGGCGACAACCTCACCCACCCCTTGGTTGGGCAAATGGGGAGACTGAGGCCTGGGGATGGCCGGACGTCAGCTGGGGGCCACGCAGGGCCTCAGTGAGGATGGGGACAAGCCTCCCAACCCGCCCCTGAGGGGCCCTGAGGTCTGGAGGCTCCTTCCTACTCGACTGTGGCCAGCGCCCCACCTTTCCCAGGACGCTCCAGGAGGAGGCCAAGGTTTCGTGTGTCTGGGCACTTGGCGTCCCCAGGAGAGGGGCCTGCGGCTGTGGAAGGCCGAATGGGCAGACCCCTTTGGCCTAGGTAGCTGGGGGAACGAACACAGAACTGCTCCCAGAGACGCTGCCGGGTACAGGACCTGGGGCAGCAGCACGACCGTGGGCCAACACCTCCTTTGACCCGGAGCTCGCTTCCTCGTCTGCAAGATGGGGCCAGTGCACATCCCCTGTCTCTCTCAGGGAGACACTGTCCCCGAGCCCTGTGTCCTCAGCTGGGCACAGGGGTGGTGAGACTCAAACACAGATGCCGAGAGCCCGAGAGGTGTGAGGGCCTCTGACACGCCCCAGTCACCAGGCCAGGGAAGCCTCAGCTGACCAGAGGCCTGCACGCGTGGTCACTGGCCGCGTGAGCTGACGAGGGCACACTCACTTGGTCACGAATGCCAGCAGCAGAGGAGCAAGGGCCTTGGGGAAGTACTCCTGCTGCACCATGTGATTCAATGCCATCAGGGGGCCGTACAGGTTGGCAATGGCCTTGATCTTGTCTTCACTCTGCAAGGGGAACACACAGCAGAAGGCAGCGTGAGCTTCAAAAGGTCACCTGGGGGACCCCAGGTCTCCACCACCTGGCCCCTGCTGACAGCCCCACGGCCAAGGTCAAGCTGAATCCTAAATCCTGTCACGAAGGCCGAGGCTGCTTAAGCAGACCCAGGCCTGGGGCCAGTGTGGGTGACAGGCCCCGGCAGGACTCGAGGTCCGGGATGCTGCTGCCTTTGGTGCACCCCCGCCCCCCCCCCCCCGGGGCCCGCGCTCCTTCCAGCGCACCTTGAGCAGCCCCATGTGGATGAGGAGCCTGGTGAGGAAGGCATTGGAGTTGAAGGAGGATGAGCTGAAGGCCTTCTTCATCAAGGTATCTGCAAGGCAGAAGCAGCAAAGAGGCCTAAGGGCCCGCAGCCCCTGAGCACACAGGCTGGGCCCTGTCTCCTGCGCTCATCAGGAGGTGAACACGGGGGGTGGGATGTGGACACAGGTGGCAGACTGAGGGGACAGCTAGCACCAGGCGAAGGGCTCAACCTGCCAGCTGTGATACCTTGGCCCTTCTCTGTCCTGGCCTCACAGATAAGACGGGCTTGGGCAGAGATTAAGTGAGGCAGGTCACCGCTGGGGGAGGTTTCAGCCATTCTGGGGGTGGGGTTGGGGGAATGGATGGGAAGGGACGGGGGGAGGCATGGCCAAGGGCCCGCAGGGACCGCCTGGGCCCCTGCCTCCGAGCGAGCGAGGCTGTTCTGGGAAACCGAATTCAGGTAACCCGTTCCCACAAACGCCCACGGTGCGGCGGGGCTCTCAGGGAGCAGACACGGAGACTCCCACCCCCACCCCACCCAGCCTCCCCCCCCATGGACCCTCCCGTCTCAGTGTCACCGACAACCCTGGAGAAAGCCTCCCAAGTGTTTCCACTCCCTTCTACCTTTTCCCTCCCCCCTCTGCCTGGCCCAACCTGGCCACACTAGAGATCCTGGGAAGCCTTGGGAAAGATGCGGGGAAAGCAGGGGGACCTCCAGGTGGAGGGGACTGTGTGTGCACAGGCTCAGAGGTGGGGACAAGGGCTCGGCTCTCATCACCCCTCCTCCGAGAGGTCCGACCTTCCTGCGGTGGGCGCCACCTGGCCCGAGTTCTCACCGTATAGAACTGTATGGCTTTGGGAAAGGCCTCAGTTTCCCCAACTGCAAAAAGCAGAGAGGCGAGCACCCGGCCGGCTCTAAGGCAAGAACCCAGTGGAAGAGCAGGTGAGAGGAGAATGTTCCGACCCGAGCCCCGGGGGCAGCGAAAGGCAGGAGCCATCCGGGCCCCACCCACCCCACGCACCTACTGCATCCTGCACCGCCGACCTCACTGTGGCTTCGTCCTTGAACACGGAGGACACCTTCAGGAAGGCAGAGACCACCTTCTCCGGATCAGATGTGTCAGTCTGAGGACACAGGAGACAATGGCTGGTCACCAGGGGTGAGAGCCCCAGGGCCTTGGCACACAGTGGGGATGTGCCTGTGGCTAGAGGAGGCCTTGGCAAGAAATGGGCCTTCAATAGGCAAGGACAGGTCCTGCCTCGCCCCACGCTGTCTCCTCAGAGCCTGCACGGGCCCGGCCACAGCAGGTGTGCACACACACTGAGAGAATTCACGTTAAAAATCATTATCCCTGTGACCCGGAGATCCCCTTCCTGCAATCTAACCTGACGAAATAATCCAGAATGCAAACGATACTTAACACACAAGGAAACTGACCTCAATTTCCCTGACGACGGAGAAAAGTGGAAAGAATGTGAATCCACAGAAACAGTGGATGGCTTAAGTGCTACATCCACTCACTGAGATAAAGGGCACGAGAAGAATTTTACTGACACAGGAAAATGATGAATGGTATTAAGTGAAAAGGTGGGCCACATGGAGGTTTGCATCATATAATCTCATTTATCATGGGGGAAAAAAATAAGAGTACAGAAAAATATAAACGGGGGATAAAAAGCAAAAATATCAAGGCAGCTCTGCGAGTGGCCCCTTTTATTTCTCTGCATAGACATACCTCAGAGATACTGCGGGTGTGGCTCCAGACCACAGCAATAAGGCAAATACCGCAACAAAGCGAGTCATGTGGATTTTCTGGTATCCTAGTGCATTGTTTAAGTCTGTTAAGTGTGCAACAGCATCAAGTCTAAAAAAGCCACATACATGATTTAAAAAGCACTGTATTACTAAAACATGCTGTCATCTGAGCCTTCAGCAAGTCATAATCTTTTTGTTGGTGGAGGGTATGAAATACTGTGAGAATTACCAAAATGTGACGTTATCTAGAGACATAAAGTGAGCAAATGCTGTTGGAACAATGGCACCAATAGACGTGCTCGACACAGGGAAGCCACAAACCTTCAATTTGCAAAAAACGCAGTAACCGTGAAGCACAGTAAAACAAGACGTGCCTGTTTTTATCATTTAACCTCTGTAAGCCTCAGTTTTCTCGTCGGTAAAATAAGAGTGGAAGGATCTACACTCCGGTTGCCAAGAAGGTTAGATAAAATCATGCCCAAGTATTCAGAGCAGCAGCCAGCAGACAGGAGGTGCTCGATAACTGTCTCCGAATGAACGAAGTAACGACCCAACCAACGAACAAGTGAGGCTGGAGCAAGAACGCAAGTAGAGCGGGACCTGCACAGGGGCCGGGGGCGGGACAGCTGTTCTAGAAGCAGCTGGTCCTGCAGAACACACAGAGGGAAGCCTAGGTGCGTGTGCTCACATGAGAGTCCTGGGAAGATTCCCGAATTCCAGTCATCACTGAGGTGCCACAGGCTTACCCTTCCTCACAGCCCAAGTGTGTTCGCAGTGGGCGCAGACATCTGCAACCACTGGTCACACCCATTTACATGTGTGTGTGTGTCTTACAAAAAAACAACACGTGGTAGTCCCCGCCCCCCACATCGACAGTGCCCCGCCCCCCCAAATCCCGTGCTCTGCCTGAACCTTTGCTCCGGCAGCTCCGGAAGCCAAGGCCGGAACAGGTCTGGTGTCGGAAGTGCTGTTACCTGTTGGGCTATCAGCACGGAACTCTTGGGCCCGAGGCGCAGCAGCTTCTCCGGGGAGGGGAAGGCCAGGAAGGTGGAGACGTCTGCAGGAGGCGGGGAGGACAGGACAGGAGCTGGTTCCTGGGGGACAGGTGGCACAGGTGGCTCTGTAGAGGTCCAGATCCAGACTCCTTACCCAGAACATATGCCCCTCATGCAGGCCAGTCAAGGCTCAGAGTCCAGAATTCCCCAAAGTTCCCCAAGGGTGGGGTGCCCACAGATGCTGGCCCTGGTCGGCTCCTTGTGTAAGAGCCTCTGGGGTCGGGGCAAGCCACCTCCCTCAGACTCCAAGAGCCTGGTGCAGCCAAGTGGATCCTCGCCATGACGTGTGATGCTGCAGAAGCGACTCCAGGGCTGAAGTGGCCTCACCAGGAACTAGAGCCTCAGCCCGGGTAAGCACTGCTGGCGAGCACCAGAGGCGCCCAAAGAACCAAAGACGCCCAGCCATTTCTGGAACTGCTTCCATAAAACTGGACAATAAGCCAAATTCAACAGCTGCTGAATCTGTCCAACCCAAAGTCCTCCCAAAGCTCTATTTGGGAACCTCTGAGGGAACAGACGTGGCAGCCCTGAGTCCACCAGCCTCCCGGCCAGGAAAGGAACACCAAGTGTCCAAGCTGAGTCACCAAGCCAGCCAGTCTCTGGAATGGGGGCCATCCTTATGGGTCACCAAGATGAGTAGGAAAAAAAACTTCTAGTTATGCTTGTTTTTTACCCTATTCTTTTAGAAATACTTATATACCCCCAGCACAGTGGAAAATCCTGTATAACTTTACAGTTGGCCCTCTGTATCCGCGGATTCAACCAGCTGAGGATCCTGCAGCACTGCAGTATACAATTACTGACTGCGTGTAACGTAGCAGCGTCACGCGTGTTATAATTTATAGATGAATAAACACATCTAGACTGAGGTACGTACAAATACAACTACGTTGGGATGATTTCCTCTTTCCACAAAGAGTGTGCAGTCAAAACTAGTTTGCAGTCACTGCCTAAGAGGATCCCACACCCATGACCCCCGTGAAAAACGTCTCAAGATTTCATGCTCGGGGGACCAGGGCTCTGATATGGCAACCACGGGACTCACCCCACCGTCAGGATCCAGCATCTTCCTGGGCGGTGCGGTCGGCCGCTCCCTTCGCTCTCCCGGCTGTGGCTCCTCCTCCTCCTCCTCCTCCTCCTCCTCCTCGTCCTCGTCCTCGTCCTCGTCATCCTCACCCTCATCATCACTGCAGAGGACAGGGTTGGCTAAAGCAGACCCTCCCTGCCCAGTGGCCCACGATGGCTCCGAGAACCCAAAGGCCCCAGCTGGGCAGGAGCCTGCACAGGGCGAGGGGCGCAGCTGCCGCCAGGGTGGGGACACGTAGAGTCACCAGGGAGCCCATCCCTCCTTGCTCATCACCCAGGGAAGCCCACGCTGCAGACAAGGAAGACCTCAATCTCGTCCCTGTCCCAAAGGAACCCACGGCCCCACTGGGGAGACAGAGAAGATGAAGAACACCGCCTGTCACAGCTGCGGCCCAGGGCCTGGCAGGAATACTGCCCAGGCTGAGACGCCCAGGACTGTGCTACCCACATCTCGCTGACCACAGGAAGCTATGGTTAAGGGCGAAGGAGGGGGCTGCCCTGCCTCTGAGGAAGGCTGTTCCATGTCCTCTGGACTGGGAGCCCCTTGAGCCCACCTTGGCATAGCTCCTAGCAGCGGCACTGGGCCTGGCCCTGAGGGACACAACCGACGACCTGACAAGTGAATGAAGCCAATGCAGAGACTGGAGAGGCAGGCGGAGATGGGTGCTGAGGGCTGAACCAACTCCCATCCCGATCGAGGAGGCAGCCCCCCACCACCCCACCCCCGGCCTCTGTGAACCCAGGAAGCCCCACTCGCCTGCATCAATCTCCTCCTACAGTCAAGCTCTAAGGCTGGTTTCAGGAACAATGCCGAGCCCCCCAGACCACTACCCACGCGTCACAACGTCACTGCTGCCCCACCTTGCCCGTCACATCACCTTGATGATCAAAGGTCATCCCTTCAGAGGCCTCCCCAACTCACCCACTCCAAAGGGTGACCGATCTCAGCCCCCATTTGTCCCTTTGCTATACATGTGATAACCTGATTATTCTGTCTCACTCCTTGATCCCTCGCCCGTGGCAACGAGGTCTCGTGAGTCAGAAACCTTGGCTGTCTTACTGTCATATCCCTAATGCCCAACACAGTGCCTGGCACATCACAGGGACTCAACCAACGTTTACTGAATGAATAAAAGTAGTAACAAAGGAGCCACTAATCCAGATTCCCCACCTGAGGGACGCCAGCACCTTGGCCATGTTGAAGCCATCCAGCACTTCCTGGAGCTGCTCACAGCCTTCTTCTCCCAGGTTGTTGCCTGCTCGCAGGGGAGGGAACAGAGGGTCAGGCCGGGGGCTGGGGCCCGCCCGGCAGGCCTGGGCCGAGGCCACCACCCCTATTACCATTGAGGTCCAGTTTCTCCAGCTCCACCTTGTCAGCCACGGCCTCAGCAACAGACAGAGCAGCATCCCTCTTGATTTCACCGAATGACAAGTTCAGCTCCTAAAAAATAATGGGAAGGGGTAGAGGCGGATGATAGAAACACGGGCCGGGAGGCCTGCCACTACCCTGAAGCCTCCGTTTCCCCCTAGTTAGGGTGCAGTATACTTCTGCTATATTGCAATGACCCGTACCACTCTCCTCCTCCTTTTTGAAAAATGAGAGACTGCAGCTCAAGAGGGGTGAAGAGACGTGCACGGAGTCACAGGTGGAGGGTGTAGAAGAAGTGGGCTATCAACCCAGGCCACCTGCCTTTGAAGGCTACAACCCTGCCACCTCCCCCCACAGCTGCTCTGCCCGCGCAGCTGTCACCCCGAGCGTGGGGGAGCCTGGACCCCGGAGGGAGGAGGCAGCCAGCCAGCCAGCACCTTCAGCTTCGGCAGGCCCCCGTGGACGGCGTCTGCGATGGCGACGGCGCCCTTGGAGCGCACCAGGCAGTCCCCGAAGTTGATCACCTCCACCTGCCGCAAGGCCTTCAGCGTCTGCGGGAAGTGAGGACCAGGGTGAGGGCCCTCCTCGAGCTGGTGCCACACCCCATATTGGTCATCACACCCTGTCCCTCCTGTATCCAGTCTGGGGGACTCATCAGCTCTTCTTGTTGCCCCCAGGTAGCCTCCTGGCCTCCGGCTAAGCCCCGTTTGTGGCTCCCTGTTACTCACGGGAGCACGTCTCAAGGAGTCAGCAAGGCCACAAGGACTTGCCTTCCCCCTCCAGCTCCTCCAGCCCTCCAACACACCTCGAACCCTGGCCTGTTCACACCAGGCCCAATGGAGCACGGCTCCTGCCATCTCTGGGCCTCCCCACGTGCTGCTGACCCCTCTGCCTGAAACACCCCTCCCGCCCTCCTTGTCCAGACAAAGTCCACTTGTCCTGGAGAACTTGGCCAAAATGTGACCTCCTCCAGGAAGCCTGCCCTGCGTCTGACTGGAACTTCCTGTGTGCTCCCCAACCCTTGCACACGTCTCTGCTAACACCCCACGGCAGGCCTACTAGACTCCTGTGGGGTCATGGGACACCCAGCCAGCCACTGTGCTCACGGCCCTGTGCTGTTGCCGATTAGCTACTTCCTCCCCTCCTCGAATTAGGGCTCCTTGAAGGCAGAGTCTTTGACTCAACTGTGTGTGGCCTGCACTTAGTACAGGGATGGGTGCTAGACTGGGGCTCAATCAACAGCTGACGAAAGAATCAGTGAGGAAACAGGCTGAAGCAGCCTCCAAGAGGCCTCTGAGAACAAAACCAGCACCGACAGCCAGGGTTGCATGAAGGCAGCTTAGGATGTGGTGGTATGGACACGCAGAGCTGCCCAAAAGGGCACAGGCTAGCTTGTGACATACGCCCCGCTCTGGAGATGTTCACATGGCTGAACCCATGGGATACACACCAAGTGGGCGGGTAGGAGGGAGAGGAGCCACCTGCTGATGGGTCCACCACAAAGGCAGCAGCCAGACCCAGTCTCCGGGGCCTGCTCTGGCCCAGCCGCACCCCCTCACCTTGGCCATGGCCACGGCACCCTTCTCGGTGAAGGTGTTGTCGTTCAGGTTGATGACCCGCAGCAGGGGGTTGATGGCGAACGCCTGGGCCAGGGCAGTGACACCGGGGTGATTGATCCCGTTCTGCGGCATGTGGACCTCCTCCAGAGTCCCGATGATCTGCGAGGAGCAGGAGGGAGACAGGTGGACCCCCAAGGAAGGGGGACAGCCCCAGGCAGGAAGGCAGCACTACACATCAGACACCAGAGGGACCTGCCCTTTTGGGGCCCGTTCAGGGCATGACCGCTTCCGCCTCTCCACAATTTCACAAGGGAGACCGACCTGGGATTAGGATCACCACTAGATAAGAGATGACCAGACATCAGAGGGGCTACGTAACCTGCCCAGGGTCACACAGCTCTGAGCACAGGTGTCTTCGTCTGGTACCTTCTGCACTGTGGGGACCCTGGGCTCTGGCCTGACAGTCAGCCCTGGCTCTACTCTATATAACATAGCTCTGCTTGGCCTTTCTCTCTTGGGGCCCTACTGCCTTATTTGCACAATATAACTGGCATCCCACACACCACCTCCTTTTCTGGGGGCGAGGAGGGTCTTTCGTCTCTCACTCTGGCTTTGGATGCCTCCCTTTCTCTGCCTGGAACTCTGTCTCCTTATGTTGTTGGCATTTTCCTGACAGGCCGACTCCTCATGCATTCAGCAGCTCTCATTTTGGATGCCTCCTCCCTCCAGGGAGACTTCCTGGATCAACCCCCCAGCACAATCCAGGGCTCTTCCTCTCTGCCCCCAGAGCACCTCATCCTTCCTCTGTCATGGCGCTCATCACTCTGGAGTAGCGAAGCCACCTTCTCGTCTGCACCCCAACAGCCCCCAAGAGCTCTAGAAGAGGCCCACGTCCCAATCGCCACTGCTACCCGGGACTGAGGACAGGCGGGCATAACTCTGTACCCAGGCACCTTCTGTTGTCTCTGGGCGCCCAGCACAGTGTGGGGGTTCACAAATAAATACAGGCAGCCCAACTGAGGCACATTCCAAGTCAGGGCCTCTTAATATTTTCTGTGCCATGGACCCGTCGGGCAATCTGGGAAAGCCCCAGGGCTCCCCTCCTCAGGATGATTTTAAATTTTAAGTTAAATTATATAGAATAACAAATTTATTCGGAAGACAATTATCAAAATATTAAGAGAAGCTGCCCAAATGTGTGCTGTAGTAACCTATGTACCTCTTAAGGCAATGAATAACAAGACCTAGGTGTACCATCACTGTGATCCTAATGTACGAGAAACAAAATTTCTATCTATCTCTAACAGCGATCACTTGACAGGAAAGTATCTGTGATTTCTCCTGGTAACAAAGTTACAGGAATTTCTAAAGCTGCTGAGGTTTACTGTCTATATTCACAGCGGAAGGTAACACTGTATTTAACTCTGGTAGTGATAACAATCATGCAATTTCCCCCCCAGCCATGTTCAAAGACGCCCTGAATTCTACCCACAGACCAGTGGGATCCCATGGACCCAAGTTAAGCGCCCCCCCTCTGCTTCTAAGAGCACCGAGGACGCCTGCTGAACGATGTACCCCGTCCCAGCACATGGAGGACAGCGACCAAGGGAAGGGGTGCAGAGAGGGCGTAATCTTTAATGTCACCGTGTCTATGAGGTGACCAGGCCACTCCAGCTACAGAGGAAGAGGCAGAAGCCCCTTGCAGCCAGGGGTCCAGTAAGACACAAGGCCCTTCTCCCCTGCAACGTCCGCTCTCTTGAGGCAGGTGGAGTGCCGGAAGCAGCAGGACCACGGGGGATGCTGCTGTGGCCTGAGCATGGTTAATGCTGCTAGAATATCGTCTGCCAAAGGAAATGCTTAAATTAAGAGAAGTAGGAGACAGACCCCCAATTTCCTAGCCCATGGGGCAGGTGCAGCCCTCTCACTAGCAGAGACTCAGCAGTGTCCTGGGCCCGCTGGGAGGAGCAAGGGCAAAGCAGAGGGAGCAGCGGGGACAAGGACATCCAGGGGCGTCTCATCCAGCCGCGGCTCCTGCTCCCGCCCTCCCCGCTGGCTCAAGGGCAAGTCTGATGGGCTCCACGGGCAGAAACCACTCACCCCAAAAGCCTCTGCTAAGGCAGTGGCTCCGTCGTTCTCCAGACGGTTTCTGCCAGCCATGAAGACCTTCAGGGCCAGCGGCTTGCCTTGGGCACTGGACTTCCGATGACACTCAGTCAGAGCTGCTGCCAGGATCTGGGGGGGAAAGGCAAGGGGCCCGGGCCTAAGGCAGGAGGCCCTGGTCTTCAACAAGCCATGAAACCCAAGGGTGGTGGACACGGGGACGAAGAGCTGTTCAGCAGCACAGCGTCATACCTCACCCACACCCAGCACCCTGCAGGGACAAGGGCTTTGACATCCACCACCGTGTCTGCATGTCTCGTCACCCCATGGGGTTTAGCCCCACAGCAGAGATGGGGAGCCTGAACCCGGGAGAAGGGAGACACCAACACTGAGTGGCCAACCTTAAGACAGGTCCTGGGGAAGGGGCCTCACAGCTCGCTTTACTGTCAGAAGCCCTCTGTCAGGTGGGGACCATCGCGATTCCCACTCTCCAGCTGAAGAAGCTCAGGCTCAGAGAGCGACAGAAACTCTCCTACATTCACTAAGTGGCAGACTCTGCACAGAACCCAAATCTTCCGGATCCTCCAGCATCTCTTCCACGCTCCACGATGCCTAAGGGGAGCCGGCCGAGGAGAGCAGGGCCCCGCCGCACCCATCTGACACACGCCCGTGCTCAGGCCAGCCACACGGCAGGGGCTCAGCTGCTGGGGGTGAAACCCTAAAATCTGGTTTGCCCTGACCTTGGGGTGGTGCCAGGAGGTAGCCTCTCTCCCGTGACACCAACAGAGCAGGAGTTTAAAAATGCTGTCGGTTGCTAGGTTGGAACTGGAGAGACCAGGGTAAATAAGACATCGAAGATTCAGGGGAAGTGCAGCAGAAGAGAGATAACGTTTAGAGCACCTACTAGGTCTGGAGCACTCTCGGCAAAGGTACTTTCACGCCTTGTTTCAACCTGAAAACGGGCCTGGGAGGCAGGTGGAACTGGCCTTACTCTATGACAAGGAAGCCGAGGCTCAGGGGGAGGCACATGAACTGGCTGAGCTCCCAGAGCAAATACGCGGAGGAGCTGTGACCGGCAGCTGGGTCAGTTTGCCTGCACGCAGCTCTGTTCTTGGGGCACATACAGGACACGGGACACCACCAGCCTGACTCCGTGATGGTGGTGGGTCACGCGTGTGCTCAGGGCAGAGACCGCCAACTTCTGCTGTAGACCAGCCTCAAGGAATCTTTGCAGAGGTGGCTCTCCCAGCACATCCCACTCTGGGCTGGGCTGGACCTGTCTTCAGTGCTGATGCAAACATTTTTATGTCTTAACACATACAGCCTATTGCCCCCTAGACTGGAGGAGCGCTGGCTGAGATGGGTGCACGAGCGTGACCTGCCCTCCCTCCTGCGGGCAGGAGACAGGCCGTCTGCAGGGGTGGCCCCTCTGGCTCCTCAGCCTGGGCCACCGCGAGCATCACGTAGGTGGCTCCTCTTGCTGCTCTGACCAGCCGTGTGGATGCAGGTTCAAATCCCACATCCGTCCCATGCTAGGTACATCATCTGGGGTGCTCAACCCAACATCGCTAAGCTCAAGTGTAGTTATCTGAAAACATGGGGACAGCGTCACCCACCTTTCAGTAAGGGCGAGAGAATTAAGGTAACACATCTTCAAAGAGAAGATGTCTCCGTTCGCTGTCTGTTCCTATGTCCTGGCCCTTTGCTCCTTTTGGTCAGAACATGAGGGAAGGAGGATGGGAATGCAGATTGGTGCTCAGCCTTTCTAGAATCTAGGCCTAAAGCAGCCAGAATGGACCAAGAAGAGAATAAACAGGGCTGGCCTCCCTAGGTGCCTTTCTACATGGACCAGCCTGACCTGCTGGCAGGATGGGGGAGGCACCCTGGGCAAGGTCCTAGCCAGGAACAAAGGTGAGCTGTGCCCAGGCCTCCCAGAGTGGTTTCTCTTTCTGGGCTCCCTCTCCCACGTGCACACGCCAGGCCTTACATGGCTCTGCCAGCTGTTCTGAGGGCACAGCAGGTCTAGTGATGCCCAAGCCCTGCATTCTGCAGAGCCAGCAGGTCGGAGCATGTATGCAATACTGCCTATGTGTTGCCACGGCAACACAAGAACTGAGGATGGTTGCTTGGCAACCCCACACTCACAGATTCCATCTCCTCTCCCCACTGGCCACAGGCTGCTGCCTTTGAGGCCCTTCTCCTTTGAAGAGAAAAACAACAGGCCAACCATCCCAGACGGTGGGTGGCCAAGGGCACATACTTCAGATGGACACAAATGTAGCAGGGGACTGGGCAGGGAGGGAGGCGGAGGACAATGGGGATGCGGGGAAGGGGGCTGCCGCACCCACCTTGCCGCCACCGACACCCATGCCACAGTTGTTGAGCTTGAGTTCGTGCAGGGTGAAGCAGGTGGAGCTCTTGAGCAGGGCCTCGAAGCCTCGCACGCCGTCGGGCCCGAACGCGTTGTCACTCAGGTCCAGCTCCACCAGCTGGGCCCCGGCTGTGATGAGTCCCTCCCCGAGTGAGATCTGGGCACAGAGGGAGCTCATGTCCGTTTCACAGACACGGACAAGGTGCTGCATCTATGCCAGGCCCCCCCTGCCCTCAGGGGGCATCCAGGCTGGTGGGGAACTGGCAGAGACACAGACCATTTCATTATAGAGCTGATCATGTTATATCAGACTGAAAACCCTGCAGAGAGCTCTTAAATCACCCAAATCAATTTATTTAACCTGCCCTCTAACCCCAGCCTCCTCTGGTTCTCGTCCATCCTTTGAGGCTGGTATCTAACTGGAGCAGCTCTCCAGGGGCTTCCTAAATCCCCCACGCAGGGAGCCCGCCCTCCAGGGCCTCCATGGGGACACCTGTCACAACCTGGATGACCCTTAACTGTCTGCCGGACTGAACTGCTTTGGAAATGAGGTTGGTGCCCAGGCATCTCAGGAGCACCAGTGCCGGCTAGATAAATGGAGGCCTGAGAAGGCAGCGCTGGCACATGGACAATTGTGCCAACAACTGACCACGAACCTCGCCCCAAGGACACTCTGGGCTAGAAGGATACACTGAGAGGCTGCCCGCTGCCAGCCCCGCCCCCTTCCCTTGAGCCATGTTCTGTCCTGTGACCCCTCCTATCCCTCCCACAAGTGCGCCTGTGCACACACAGGCTGGGAGCTCCACCCAAGAGGGGCTGAGCCCCAGGAATGGGGAAATGGAAAACAGGCAGAGGGAAGCCACCCACGATGAGAACCAAAGCAAAAAGAGTGGTATCAAATGTAAAATAGATAGCTAGTGGGAAGCAGCCGCATAGCACAGGGAGATCAGCTCGGTGGTCTGTGACCACCTAGAGGGGTGGGATAGGGAGGGAGGGTGGGTGGGAGGGAGAAGCAAGAGGGAGGAGATATGGGGATATATGTATATGTATAACTGATTCACTTTGTTATAAAATAGAAACTAACACACCATTGTAAACAATTATACTCCAATAAAGATGTTAAAAAATAAAAAGAGTGGTATCGGAGAAAGGGAAGGACCGGAGGGAGACAGGACAGCCAAGGCAGCCTGTGTGCAGAATGAGGTCGAGAGGGACCACAGGGTGCAGGGGAGGGAGGGGCCAGGACGAGAAGGGTAATCACGTAGGGAGTAAGATCCATGCTGCTTGCGGGCGAAACCACTAAGCTCAAGAGTGAACCCTGGGAAGTGTCTGCTGTACTTCCTGTCACCGGGCCGCCCGGTCTCACAGGGACTCTGAGTCCTCACTTCCTGGCTCCTGCTCGTCAGGACACAGGCGGAGGCTGTGCTCGCCTGGCTGCCTTTTCAGCATCTCAGGCACCCACAGGGCACTCAGTCTCCGGAAAGAAGAGGCCGTGAGAAAAAGTCCTGGGAAGTGCTAAAGGGGTCCCTGCAGCCGGCGGCACGAGCAGAGGCCCCATTCACTCACCAGGGCAGGTGGGATCTCAGACCGCAGCCTTCCCGTGAACATGTCGCTCCAGTGGCATCGCTTTGGAAAGAGGAAGAAAAGAGTTAGCTGAAACCCTTGGAGGTGGCCTTCGGGCAGCCCCTTGTCTCCACAGACTTGGATTACTGAGCACAACAAGACTGCTGAATTGGGGTGAAAAGTGGGACCAGCTCTGACCGAAGCTAATAGGACCTGGCAGCCCCTAAGGACCATGGGGGAATCAGCAGAAGTGTCAGGAAAACGTGCCATCTGTCCAACCCTCTGGTTCTCCAAGAGGGAAATCAGGCTGAGAGGGAAGGGACTGGCCCCAGGCCCGCTGGCAGGGCAGTGGCAGGACCAGGACCAAGACACTAGACTCTTGGCCCACTACTTCTCCCCAGTGCTAGTTTCCCACACTGTGTGGGCCACAGCGACATGATTTTGGGCGGTGGAGGAACAGAAAGGAAACAATACAGGATCCAGCAGTGAGGAAGTTACTCTTTTTTAAAAATATTAATTTATTTATTTATCTTTTTTTGGGCTGCACTGGGTCTTCGTTGCCGCGCGTGGGCTTTCTCTAGTTGCAGTGAGCAGGGGCTACTCTTGTGTTGCGGTGCGTGGGCTTCTCAACGCGGTGGCTTCTCTTGTTGTGGTGCGCGGGTTTCAGTAGTTGTGGCACATGGGCTTAGTTGCTTCGCAGCATGTGGGATCTTTCAGGACCAGGGTTCGAACCCGTGTCCCCTGCATTTGCAGGCGGATTCTTTTTTTTTTTTTTTGCGGTATGTGGGCCTCTCACTGCTGTGGCCTCTCCCGTTGCAGAGCACAGGCTCTGGACACGCAGGCTCAGCGGCCATGGCTCACGGGACCAGCCGCTCCGCGGCATGTGGGATCCTCCCGGACCAGGGCACGAACCCACAACCCCTGCATCGGTAAGCGGACTCTCAACCACTGCGCCACCAGGGAAGCCCTGCAGGCGGATTCTCAACCACTGCGCCACCAGGGAAGCCCTGCAGGCGGATCCTCAACCACTGCGCCACCAGGGAAGTCCCGGAAGTTACTCTCTTTTCAAGTCTCTTTTCAACCCTCCTGACCACCTCTAGAAGGCAGGCTCGGTTTGGGGCCGGTGGGTCTCACCCACCTCCCCACTTCCAGCTCATCTGCGTTTCTAACGAAGGGAGAGCAGGCTTCAGGCTCAGAGTCTCTGGATGGCAATGGCCTCAAACTAGAATTGAATAACACTCTTTTATTTCCTTTATGGTAAGGGATGCCATTTTCCAGTTATAGAAGGGATCGTGTTTGCTTTTAAATTACTTCAAAATGAGCTGATTTAAAGGAAATATTAGGTAAATGTCACAAAGGTAGTGGCCACGTGACTGGGTCATGTATCATGCTGGCCAGCAGAGTTGAGGCTCCAAGCACACAGCCCTACTCTCTAACTCTGGTTGCTGTGTCCACCAAAATATCAACTCTGGCAGCTCTAGCCTTTCCTGGGCCAAACCTGGAAATGATGGGACACAGGACAAGCAACTTTCCCCTGAAACCCAGTCCTTAAAATGTATGAACTAAACCCAACCTTAAGTACAAGAGAAGTTGATTTTTGCAGTAGAATTCTCACATCCTCCAATAATGCAAATCACTAACATACCGGGAGGCATTCTATATGGGTCTGCTCAGTGAGTTACACCTGCACACAGGTGCGCAGGGTCAGAACAGGTAGCCACAGCCTGAGCCCCTCCCAACAGACAGTGGCATCTCATCCTGAAGCTTCCCCAACCCAACTCTGATGGGCTGAGGTCAGCATGGGGCTCTGGGGCACAAGGCTGGCTTCTAGTCCTGCCTTAGCTGATGCAGGCCTGCCACTCCCTGTCTCTGACCCTTTGTATCTTATCTTTGAAATAGGCTTTAGGCCTCAATGATCTCCAAGTGGGCAGCAGAGCAGTCAAGAGACTGGGATGGTATCTGGGCTGCAATCCTGAGATGTGTGACCCTGGGCCACACTTTCCTCATCTGTCAAGACCTAACTTGTGCACGTGCTGCAAGAGTGGAAATAGCAACTTATCTCGCATCAGTACTGTGGCCAGAACAGCACCGGTGTCAAGGGCAGCTCTGGCCCTGCCGCTGCTCCCACCCTGGGCTCCTCCCAGCACTGAAGCAGGCTTGAGACACTACATGGGGCGATTCAAGGCCCTGGGTCTACACAGGGTGACAAGATGCATGCGGTATTCCCGCGGCTCAAGCTCTCTCACTACATGAGCCTGCATGTGGCCACCATGGCAACATCTCAGGGAGGAAAAACTTCTTTGCATAAAGGAGCCCAGTTTCAGAGCTGAGTCCAATGCAAGGCCTCATAATGCAGCAAATAAGGTGGTGGTGCTGGGGCTTGAACCCAGGTCCTTGGATGCCAAAGCTCAGCTGCTGCGGCCTCCATGCCCGGGCCACCTCTCCTCCGTTCCTGTCCTTCACAGGTCACTGAGGAGAGCTGAGTTCTTTCATAGGAAAATGTCCCAGCTTATGCTCAGGACAGGAGGCCCTGGGCAGGAGAGCAGAGACAGTCCTGACTTGGCTGTCTGTTAACCTGACCGTGATCTTCCTGAGGGAAACAAACATCAAGGGTCACTCTGACAACGAGCTCGGGGCCCTCCCTGGACAAATCTGCTCCGTTTCCTCTCATGGCCCAGGCCCTGTACGCCTCCCCTTTCAGAAAGCACAGCTGTACCACGGAAGGCGCATCCGACTTGGAAACGGGAATACGGCTCAGCCACTGACCAGTGGCAAGACCCTGGGCTGTTTCCTCAGCTCCCCTGAGCCTCAGTTCCCTTAACTCACAAAATGGACTTGAGTCGCCTTAAGGGTTAATGACATCGGCCGTGGGGCTGTGAGCGGAGGCTTGTCCCCAACCAGTCTGGGCCTACTCGCCCTGCAGACCTCACCTTCAACTCCGACTTCTTCTCCAAGGCCTTGGCGATGACCCTGGCTGCTTCCACGCCCACCGTGTTGCCCTCCAGGCGCAAGGCCTCTAAGCCGTCGAAATCTTCAATCTCCTTAATCACATCTTTGGCTGCCCAGGACCAAAAAAACAGAACCTTAGACTTCTGGAACCACGAACGGCAGAGGCAGGAGCTGAGGCCCAGCGACTACCTCGTCACTCACAACTCCAAGGGCTACGGTGCACCTACTGGGTGCCAGACCCTGGCTCACCAGGGAGACTTGGACCGGCTCACAGTCTAGCAGGAGACATGGCTACACAGAAAATCCCTCTCTAATGAGTGTTAAAACAAGGCAGGCATGAAAGGCTTGGGAGGCAAGGGAAAAGGGGAACTGGCTGGTTTGGGTGAAGAAGGTGCTAGGCACACCCTTGAAGGGGAGTACACCAGGCCAAGCAGGGAAACGGCACAAGTCAGAGGCCAGCAGGCACAATGGCACACGTGCTTTCATGGTGAAATGACTCGCGTGTGGGGTGCTCACTACTGTTCTGTTTCATTATGATGAAAAATTCCATACAACCTAAATGTCCATCAGCAGAGGACAGGTTAATTCACTGGGATACGTGATATAAATAGTTACACTGATGTCCTTATGAATGGTGACACAGGTGATTACCTGACTTGGAAAATAATCATGTTATAGTGGTAAGTGAAAAATTAGGTTATCCAGTGGTGTTTGGTCTGATCACACTTTTAAAATGTTGTATGCATTCTCTCTCACACGCACACACTGAGGTCCAGAAACCAAATGTTAAAGGGGTTATTTCCAGGTGGTGGGATTCTGAGTGAATCTGTGTTTTTCCAGCACCTGCTCAATATATTCTCAATGCATCAGGTTAGAAAGCAGCTTTTAAAGTATCTGTAATTATGATCTCAATTATTTTAAGAAAAAAAAGAGGAACTCAGCTATGTGTTTAGAAAAAAAACAAAAGACCAGAAAAAATGCATGAAAATTAAAAGTAGTTATATCCCTGGGCTGTGTTATCATGAAGATATGGTTCTTTTTCCGTCTTTCGATGCTTCCGTATTCTATAATGAGCATGTATTAATTTCACAATCTGAAAAAAGCACGCAGGTTACACGAAAGACAAATCTAGTTTGGCTGGCACAGGATGGAGCGGGTGACGTGGTAGGGAAGAGACAGAGGAGTGTAAGAGAAGAGAAGAACACACAACCGGAGGGCTGTCGGAAAGCTTGTGACTTGCAGCCCATAAGGGGCTCCCTGAGAAGCCTCCACACGCGCCTCCCTCCCCTCGCCTCCCGTGCAGCAGCACTTCCTCAGAAACCCTTGCTACTGGCCAACAACCGGGCTTCACAGTCTCTGATGTCTCATGTGCAGCCTGCTACAATTTTACACTCATCTGAATAGTTACTTTTTATTTTTTTATTTTTTTTAGTTCCCCTGACCAGGAGTTGAACCCACCCAGGCCCTCAGCAGTGAAAACGTGGAGGCCAACCAGGGAACTCCCGTGACTTGATCGTTATACCATCTTCCTTACTGGGTCATGAGTTTGTGGAGAAAGGGACTCGCTTTGCCTCTGCTCACTACCACCACATCTAAAGGTAGTTACTGTTGGGTCTAGTCTACAGCTGAGTGAACTGAGACACAGAGAGAGTATGGAAATACCTACTAAGGTCACATGGACAGACGGCAGTGACCAGCACTCGTTTCACAACAAGAAAGACTGGACAGGTATGAGACTCCCATTTTCTAGAAAGGAAAGCTGAGGCTCCACGGAATGAAACCACCCTGCCCAGGAGTTCAGGGAAAACGGCAGAGCTGAGCTTCAGACTGGTTTTCCAAAGCTGAACCTACGTGCTGCTCCCCAAAGCCTTGCTTCTGCACAACCAAGGACTTCATGCAGGGCCCTGGTGGAGAAGTCCCCGAACCTCTCTCCATACTCTGGAGCTGCAATTCCAGAGCTCCAGGTGCCCAGGCCTCCCCTGCAGCTGGCACTTGGGGCAAGGGCTGGCATGGCCTCTCAGCCCTTTGGAAGATTTGCTCCAAAAGGAAGTCCCCCTAACATCCAGGGAATGGCCAGGTCACCAGGAGAAAGGATGGCTGCTCAAGGGAATGTTTATACCGTTCTTAGAAGGAAGGCAACAGAGATGCCAGGGCCCCAAGGGGAGCCGTGTAAGTGACACAGGTACAGAGATCCGAAGGTACTGCACTTGCCACAAGTTTAGCCTGGGGAGAGTCACAAGTACAGAGTGAGCGTGGAAGGAAAAGCACCAAAATGGGAAGAGCAGGTACAGGAGAGGGTGGGGGTCACAGCTGAGTTGCCCCTCTCACTTGATATTCAACCCATACCTCTGTTTAAACTCAAAAACAGGTGAGGGATGGGCCCCAACCATCCCTGAATAACCACCGACTGTCATGAGGCTGCATGGAAGGGATCTGTCTTTTCAGCCTCTACTGCCTCACAAAGTAACAAGTTCCAGGTACTCTGCTATGTAAGGCAGCAAGAACTTTCTTTGATCCTTAAATGACTTACTAGGGAGAGAAAAGGCCCTTGTTCTAATCATCAGCTTCACGGCCTCCCCTCACAGGCCCCTACCCTCCCTGGACCTCACCCGCTCACTCCCAGCCCAGATAGAGGCCCTTTCTGGGCCCACGATTAGGCCACCAGGCACCTCAGTACAGCATTCAAGGGCCTCTGCCCTGGTGAGATGAGATTCTGACTTCTCTTCTCTCAAGCCCACCCTATGTGTCTCAGCTCCTGGGTCAACTCACGTGCAGTGCCCTTCCTCCTTCAAACACCCACCTCATCCATAGAATGACTTCCTGTGCCCTTCTAAGCTAAAAGAGATCCCTTTCCTCGACCTCACTTCCCAGAGCTTTCTCTTCATGTCTCTCCGAGCACGTTTCATCTTCTCCCTCCTGTTAGTTGTCTGGGTACCTCATTCCTATTCCAGGTAAGGAGCTCCTGAGACGCCATGGCTATAAGCTGGCCATCCCTGATGACCTCCAAAATGGGAGGCAGCATATCCAGCCTGAGCTAGTGAAGTCATTATGTGCATAGATTTTAGGACCAGACAAACCTGAACTTTCTTCCCAGCTCCACTACTTCTAGCTGGGCCTTAGGAATGTCCTATCACCTCCCTAAGCCTCAATTTCCCAATCTGCAATATGGGATGAAATCTACCTCAAGGCCTTTTGGGGGGGATAAATTGAGATACTCTTTGTATGGCACTTAAGACTGCCTGACACAGTGTTAATGACAGCATTTAATAGCAAATTCATGCTTACTGAGCTGAGCTGAACATCTACTGAGAAATACCAGAACAGGGATTCAGCTGGACCTCTGATAAAATCCCAGCTCTGCTATTTACCAGCTGTATGACCTTGGGTAAGTTACTGAAGTCCCCCAAGTCCTTTTCTCCTTATTTATAAAATGGCAACATTTTTACCTCCCTCCCTCAGGGATGATGCAAGGATCAAAAGTGACAAAGCACAGGGAGAAACTCTAAATTTTAAGGCCCTACAGAGACATTAGGAACGTGCATCACCACACTTCCAGCAACCCAAGGAAGGACTCAAGCAGTCTCTGACCTGGCAGAGGGGAGCATGCCTGCCTGCACACCATGACGACCAGGCAAGTCCAGACCAGTTTCCCTGGTTGGGCCAGAACCTCAAGAGGCCTTACAAGTACTGACGTAGGTGCCTTTGCTTCCAGATGCCAGGGTATTCAGGGTTGATCAGTGCCAGCCATGCCTTGGCCAGGGATGGTGAGACAGGGTCTGCCTTCCGACTCCTCGTTCTCTCCAGTCCTAATGCCTGTTCAGTCAGGAGCATCCGTCCCTCTCCCAGGGCCCTTCAGCTGCGTGGACTAGACCTCCCAAGAGGGCCTGGATTGTTGTTTTAATGCATCTGCATGAGGGCCTCAGCTCTGGGGAAGGTAACAACTATTCCCAGACCAGCTCTGGATCTTGGGGGTGAAGGTGGGGCTGGATCTGAAGTAAGAAGTCAGGGCTGTATCTCGGGACTGCCGCTAACTGTGGTCCCTCATTGCCTACCATCCCTTCCAAGAGATAAAGGGGCCCTTCCCACCTTGCCAGCCTGAGCTGTCACCAGCAGGGATGCCTACCGTGTGCTCATGGGCAAATCATCTTTGAGCCTCACTGTGCTAGGACAAATCGTGTGATAATGAAGCTAAACCGGCCTGACAAGTGGGAACAGTAAGCGCTCACTCGCTGGGCCAGTCTGCACGGGAACTCACCATCTTCTGCAGTGTTGAGTTTGAGGCTCTTGCCCTTGAAACTCAGCTGTCCCCCGGCCACCTGGGTTTTGGCTAGCGTCTCTGCCAGCTTGGCAATGTCTTCAGAGGCCATGCTGGCCACGCTGGTGGGCTCCCCTGGAAATCTGCAACCTGAGGAGGTCAAAGTTCATTAAGAGACAGGATTCTCCGGGTGCCTCCGGGTTGGGGAGGGCAAGGTAGGACATCAGCCATTTCAGCTACCTGACCCCACCTCCCCCTGCTAAGGAAATCCCAAGCCCTAAACCACTGGGAGAAATGAAAATAGCATTTGGGAAGGAACAGTTCTAAAAAGGTGGAGGTTTCAGCCTCTGAAGAGTTACCATCCGACTACAAGTCCTCCTCTGCCCAACTGCCCCAGCTGGGACACCAAGCAAAGCCATGTGAGTTGACTATTTCCTGGGTCCCCAGTGAATGGCAGTCAAGTCCCAGTCTGATGGCTACAAAGAGTCTACCCAAAGCATACACAGCTGCCTGATCATCTTGGCTGCTCTCTGTCTGAGAGTCCCATTCCTCAAACAGGACATGGATGGCTACGGGATCCAGGTCATCCATCCCAAAGAATGCCCCACCACCTACGGTGGCATGACTCTGGGCGTGGGGCACGAGGGTCAGCCCACTGTACGTCTGGTTTCAGCCTTGGCCAGGAGACTGGACAGCCCATGGTGGCCAGACTTCAGGGGTTCCTAGGAGACCAGAAGTCTCTACATCACAACAGCCACCATCACAACAGACCAAGGACAGAGTTGCTGAAAAAAGGAGCTTCCAGCCTGGAGTTCAGCAGACTGGAGTTCAGCAGACTGGCAGAAAGCATCACTACATTTCCCCAAAGAGGAATGACAGGTAATCAGGGAAGAACGAGGATATGTAGTGTCTCAGATAGTGATAAGAAAAAAATAAACAGGGAAAGGGGTAAGGAGTTTTCTTGTTTTTCTTGGGGGAGGGCTGCCATCTAAAATAGAATGGTTAGAGAAGGTATTATTAATAAAAAACCAAAGACTTGAAGGATATCAGGGATTGGGTCATGCAGATATCTGGGGGAAGAGCATTCTTACAAAGGAAGCAGCCAACGCAAAGGTTCTTGTGGGGGAAGAGGGGTGATTAGAGGAAGTGCAAGGAGGCCAGCTGGGCGGGAGCACAGACAGGGAGGGAGAGAAGAGGTAAGAGATGAGGAAAGAGAGTCAACAAGAGGCCCGAGTCACAAAGGCCATTTTAAGAACTGTGGCTTTTACTCTGAGTGACAAAGAGAGCCATTGGAGGGTTTCTAGCAGAAGAGAGACTGTGATCTGACGTATGTTTTGACAGGATCACTCTATCTGCTGCATGAGGCAGGGCATTTCGAAGCTGCTCCAACAATGAATGAGGGGATGAAACTGAATATAAAATAGCCTCAACCCCCGCCCCCCACTTGAGTTATGGAATGGGACAATTTAAGGTTAGAAAAATGGTGATGAGGCCTCCAGATGGAATAGAAACACAAAACTTCTCAGCTGAAAGAGGGTCCATTTCTCAGTCCAGTACATACATACACACACACACACACACACACACACACACACACAAACACACCATCCACTATAAACACTAGGAAATTGAAGCACACAGTGGTGAACTGATTGGTCCAAGGTCTGTAAAGGACCAGCGGCAAAGCACAGACGAACGGTAATTGCACACACTCCTCTCCATTCCGCGTAGGAGCGTCGCAGATTTTCCTAGGTGCACATCCACGGTTGCTGCCAAGCGTCAGCAGAGACTCACGCTGGTCCAGGGCCTGCGGCGCCAGCCCAGGCCCTCCGCGGGTGTGGGCCTATTGGGAGGCGGCAGCGGGGGAGCGATGCGCGAGTACGGGCCGCAAATGACAGCCACGCTGTACGGGAACCCCATCCCGGATCCCAGGCAGACGCGCACCGCCCCCAGATGACACCGACGCTAACAGGAGACGCCACTGCTGGCAGCTGCGGGCTGGGCGGCCAGGGTGGGCCTGACGCCCTCTCTAAGCCTCAGTCTCCCCACTTGTGAAAAGGGCCAACGCCCCCCAACTCCCTCACTCCCACCCCCATCGCGCTCTGCCATCGAGGGCACAGGGGAGAAGGCGGAGGGGGCACGCACAGAGTGCTCGGGGCCACCACACCTTCCTCGTCCAGTTCCAGGGCCGCGCCGCCCCCCGCCCCAATCCCAGGCAGGTGACAAGAAAAGGAAAGGGACCCCGACCTTACCGTAAACAGGCGGCGCCGCCGCGTGGGTCGACTGGAGCGCGTACGTCGGTCCGGCGGGGCGGGGACTGATTTAGGGTCCGGGTCAGGTCAGGTGGGGGTCGCCGCCTCCAGTCCAGCGGCCCCGATGCCCAGCCCACTCGTCCGTCAGCTCTCCGAGCGGTTCTCGCCGCTCGAGCCTCCAACACCACCTGCTCCCCGCACGGCGGCAGATGATGGCGGAGGAGGAGGATTTTGAAAGCCGGCAGTTTCTTTCCTTCGATTTGATTTGTTGGAGGCCAAGGCCGGCTTCCCTTTTCCCCCGCGCGCGTGGCCTATCGGGTATGACAGTCCAGTTCTCCGGCGCGGGGCGCGGCAGGACGCCGAAGGACCGCGCGCTTGAACTATCACTCCCGTGATGCACCGCATCCTAGAGCGCCTCGGCTCGTCCCTCTTTGCCCTCCCTTTTCGGCTTCTGGTTCTTTCTCTGAGAGGCCACTGGGCGGTGTTTAGCCGCGAGCTCCTAGGGCGACTACAGTTCCCTAAACGCCTTGCGTCCCGACCGCCTCAGCCCTTCCGGAAAGGTTCACGTTCACGTAACTTTATTGACAAAGGGTGGTACTGCCGTAGGCTCGCGCTACATCGATTCGGCAAGAACTAGGTGTCCATTTCCTAAAGGGAAAGCCTCGCCTATTTTGTCCCATGAAATTGGAAGGACGTTCGAGGATTTCACATAAATAGCCCCAAATTGCTTGATAATTAAAAAGGGGGGGGGGAAGGGGGGAAATAGTAACTCTATAGTAGAGAAACTGCCACACCACCTTAACTAAGTGGTCCACATTAACGTCAATAACGGGACAAACTGACATCCATCGCACACCTCCCGCTGTGATGTACTGAGAAGGATCACCATCCATTCAGCAACGCATAAAATTAATCGTGAGGAAACATCAGACATACCCAACTGAGGGACATGCTACAGAATAACGTGTTTGTGCTCTTCCAAAAATGTTTGTGTCATGAAAGACAGAAAAGCTGAGGAACTGTGGCAGATTAACGGAGAGTAAAAAGACATGATGATTAAATGCAATACGTGGTCCTGGCTAGGATCTTGGGGGTGGGGATGGGGGGAATTACTATAGAGGGCAATATTGAGACAGCAAAATTTGTATGTTGGATCATAGCATTGTATCCACATTAGACTTGAATTTTTTTTTTTTTTTTTTTTGGCTGTGTTGGGTCTTTGTTGCTGAGCGCAGGCTTTCTCTAGTTGTGGCGAGTGGAGGCTACTCTTCCTTGTGGTGTGCGGGCTTCTCATTGCGGTGGCTTCTCTTGTTGTAGAGCACAGGCTCTAGGCGCACAGGCTTCAGTAGCTGCAGCACGTGGGCTCAGTAGTTGTGGCACACGGGCTTAGTTGCCCCACGGCATGTGGGATCTTCCCGGACCAGGGCTTTAACCCGTGTACCCTGAATTGGCAGGCGGATTCTTGATCACTGCGCCACTGGGGGAGTCCCTGTTTTTTTCTGTTTTTATATTGTACTGGGTTATGTAAGAGACTGCCCTTGTTCTTGGGAAATATATGCTGAAATAATTAGGAGCATGATGTCTGCAACCTACTCTCAAATGGCTCCAAAAAATATGTATATACATATATATACACATATATATGGCAAGAGACTGCAAATGTGGCAAAACGTTAACAGTAAGTAAATCTGGGGACTTCCCTGGTGGTCCAGTGGTAAAGAATCCTCCTTCCAATGCAGGGGACGCGGGTTCGATCCCTGGTCGGGGATCTAAGGGCACAGATGCCATGGGGCAACTAAGCCTGTGTGCCACAACTCTGGAGCCCGCGCACCTCAACTAGAGAGCCCATGTGGCGCAAACTACAGCCCATGCGCTCTGGAGCCCGCGCGCCACAAGTAAGGAGAGAAAACCCACACGCCACAACTAGAGAGAAGCCCCTGCGCCACAAGGTAGAGCCCACACGCTGCAACAAAAGATCCCACATGCCGCAATGAAGATCCTGCATACTGCAACTAAGACCCAACGCAGCCAAAAAGTAAAAAATAAATAAATAAAATAAGTAAATCTGGGCGAAGGGTCTCTGAAGTTCTTTGAACTTTTTTGCCACTTTTCTCTAGATTCAAATTTTTTAAAGTAACAGAACACAAACAGCTTTTCTTTTTTTCTTTTCACAAAGAACTTTTTAACCACTATGTAAATAACATATGTTCATTATAAACACTTCAAGTAACACAGAACAGGATAAAGAGAAAGGTAAACATTACCCAAGAAACTCTAGCTCCCAGACATAATCACCCTCAACATATGCAGCTTTCTTTTCCAAAGTTACCTCTCACAACTCAGCCCACACACGTGTTGTTGCTTTACCTGCAATTCAGGGTTAAATATGTGCCAGATCCTTCCACATACAACTAATTTAATCTCTACAAAGGAAGTGGGCCTCATTGCCACCCTTCCCAGCAGAGGTGAGACACTGAAGCTCCAGACCCTGGTTCACACAACTACTGAGATGTGGATCCTCTTTCCACCCTCCCTCTCCTTCTCTGCCTGCAAGGCCCGCCTCCTCCAGGAGGAGGTTGCCACCTCCTCCAGGAGGATTTTCTGCAGAACAAGCTGCAAGCCCCCAGAGCAGGCGGTCTGAGAGCTTTCTCACAGAGTTAACAGTCCTCTTAGCAGCTTCCTGGAGAGCCTCTGGGCAGGTACTGTTTCTATGTGAGCAGCATCCTCTTGGGGCCTGGCCTATCATAGATGCTTCAGGTTTCCTCATTTGAACTGGATTCCAGTCAGGGTCACGGGGTGTTTCCTTAAAATGAACCATCATCTGAGAAGGCTGAAAAGCTTCCACTTAGGCCTGATGCTATTCCTGTGCTGATTCCAGCTAGGACTGATCAAATCAGTCTGAATTTTCCTCGGGGTGATCCTCAGCCCCTCCCTTTTCCAGTTTTACTCTCTGAGACGTTTCTCTGATGGACACCTCCCAAAGGGAAGAGAGAGGTGGGCGGCAGAACATCTTAGGCGAGCATCCTTTCCTCCTCCTCTGGGTGATGGATCATAAGGTTTTCACAACTGCAAGAGAATTCTTAGCAGAAACTCAATGGCCTTCAAAGCCCCGGGAAGTAATAGGAGGTAACAGGGGTCCATTGGGGCTTGTGGAGAACCGGCGTGTAGGTGTTCTGCCTGCAGGTGTTCACATTCAAAGCTAAAAATCACAAACCCAGGCCCTTAGCAAAGAGATTCTGTTTGTTACTCTCTCAAACCCCTTTAAAATGGGGAGAGGGCTTCCCCGGTGGCGCAGTGGTTGAGAATCTGCCTGCCAATGCAGGGGACACGGGTTCGAGCCCTGGTCTGGGAAGATCTCACATGCCGCGGAGCAACTAGGCCCGTGAGCCACAACTACTGAGCCTGCGCCTCTGGAGCTTGTGAGCAACAAGAGAGGCCGCGACAGTGAGAGGCCCGCGCACCACGATGAAGAGTGGCCCCCACTCGCCACAACTAGAGAAAGCCCACGCACAGAAACGAAGACCCAACACAGCCAAAATAAATAAATAAATAAAATGGGGAGACTAGGGTTTAAAAAAGGAGAAGGGGGTTTGCACAGTGAGTCTGAAGAGTCCAGAACCATCAGTGTTTCCAATCAACACATTTGTCGTCGTCTTTCTCTCTCTCCCTCCCTTTCTCCAACTCTCTCTCAAGTTACCACCTGAGAGCTAGTCTGTTTGCCTGGCCCCGAGAAATGAAATCAAAGCTTTTGACAGACAGATAGAACCATCTTAGGCCATCCCTCTCCTCTTTTCAACAGATGGAGAACTGAAGCCCAGAGAGGTCAAGTAACCTGCCCGAATTACACAGTAATTTAGACAAGAGATAGTAGAACCAGATCTCCGGGGTTCTTTTCAATACACATGCAAAACAAGTCAGTTTGTGAGTGTGAGGTGAGAATAAGGGGAGAGTGGATATTCCAGACCTCTTTCTCTCTCTATTGTGCAGCGGTTTTTATTGTTTTCTTTCTTTCTTCCTTCCTTCCTTTCTTCTTTCTTTCTTTTAATGTTTTGAAGAGAAAAGCAGACTGCCTCTGATTAGTTTGGTTTACTTTAACTGAGTGTTTTAGATTCCATTCTTGTGCCTGAAAACAAACTTAATTGCCAATTGTAAATGGAATAAACAATATTTATTCTGGTTTCCTGTAGAGCTACCAAGGCTGCAGACTTGCCATTTAGTCAGATCAAAAACAAATGCCCGAACTATGTCAGACACGTGAGGAATGTAGAGAGAAAGTCCCAAGATCCAACTGGATGCTGGCCTTGGGCCCTGGGGGAGAGGCAGGTGGGCCTGGCCTACCCATATTGCTGGAGAGCCTGCCCCCTCCCCTTGTTAAAGATAACTCAAACCACATTCCCCCCTGGGTTCAAGCCCAGGGCTCCCTTAACTATTTTTTTTAACCTCGATAAACAACCATACTTAAAAGAATTCATTCACTCCATTACTCCATAACTACTGGATAACTACTCCAGTAGTTATCTACTATGTACAGGCACTGTTCCAGAATCCAGTGTTGAATAAGATAGAAAAGGATGGTGTCTGGGGAGGAGCTTAAATTTGGGTCTAACGTGTATGAAGGGTTTCCTGGTACCAAATCCTTTTGGTAGATTATATTTCCTTTTAATAATTCTTTTGTTCCAAAATGGAAATTATTTCAGTTTTTAAATGAAAACTGACAGCAATTTTAAAAATTAGTACAAATGCAAAAGAGCATAAAGAAGAAAGTTAAAAATTACCTGTTTTGTTTTTAACAAAAATGTTATGTAGATTGATGAGTGGATGGATGGATGGAAGGATAAATATATGATAAAGCAAATACAGCAAAATCTTAACAAATGTAGCATAATATAGGGCTGTACAGTTCTTTCAATTTTCTGAATGCTTGAGGGACTTCCTGTGGTGCTCCAAGGACAATGGTGCTTCAAGGACATAGGACGACTCTGCCTGAAAAAGTATCAGCGTTACACCCGCTACTGGACTCTTCATCGCCATCCCCACCACCATTTCGCGATGGTTACGAAATTCCTCAGCCCACTTGGGCAACGGGACCTGTCCCAAATACGGAAAGTCATCTGCCCTGTCCCACTCTTACCCTATAGAAGGAAGGTGTATGTGCCTCGACCAATCAGTAAACAGAATTACACCTCGGACCATTCCTTTGTTTTCTGGCCATAAAAACTGATCAATAG